TCTTCCTTTCCTAAATCCAACCACAAGTCTCATCTTGCAAAATCATATTCTATGATGAGGCATGAAGCCCATCCTGAATATGACCAAGCCCAATGCATCGGTTAGCACTCAATTAATCTTCATTTAAAAACAACCAAACCAAATGTGACAGCTAGAAAGAAAATGTTATCTAAACAAGAGATACCCTGTCATATAAAAACAGCCCCCCCCCCAAATGTGGCAAGCTATTTACAAGGAACCTACTTACAAGGAACTTACATCCCTCTCCCACCTCTGCATATGATTCCAAATATGAAACTAAGAGAACATTCATTATTTCAAACTTCATCTAAAGCTACCTGAGCAAGAAATCTAGAGTTCATTAAATTAATGCAGAAGTAGTTTTACGTGTCAAGTGTTAAAATGAATATGCACATTTAGGCATGATCTACTTATATTTTTGGATTCAAAACACTACCATTTTTCTGTTTTGTTTTGTTTTTTTAAGATTTTATTTATTTGAGAGAGAGAGAGAGAGAGAGAAGAGCAGGGGGAGAGGGAGAAACAGGCTCTCCGCAGAGCGGCGAGCCCGATGCGGAACTCGATCCCAGGACCCTGAGATCATGACCTGAGCCGAAGGCAGATGCTTAACCAACTGAGCCACCCAGGCACCCCCATTTTTCTGTTTTTTAAAAAATAATTTCAAGCTTATTTTATAAAGATGAAATACATAAACATGATTATAAAATCTAGGCAGAGTGCCATTTCCTACGTTCACTCTCCACTCATCTCCCTGCTTCCAAACCAGGCAGCTCATGATCTACTTCATAGACACAAAACCATCCTTAAAACATTTTCATTGTTGTTTTGAGTATTAGCTTTCAAGTCAAAGCTGCACACACACATTTACAGCATGCTTTGGAGTTGGATTACATGACCTGTTTATTTAACTTTGTAGAGATGCCAGTGGAAGCACAAAGATTTATAATAATTTTTTTTATTACTGTACAAGCAGAATTTCTCTTTAGAATTTTCCATATGACTCCCCAATTAATTTTTCACTCCAAATGAAACTTTATAATCTTTAATTACTAAGCAAAAGGTTTTTGTGATCTTGAGAGTAACTTGATCATGTTTACTAAAGTATAAAATGAGACTAGATAGTACAGACCTAAAACTAAACAAAACAAAACCCTTAATGTCCTTTTGTCTACATGGAAAGAGTACTGACTCTGGTTCTCCAGTGTTTAGATAAAGAGGCCATTAACAAACGTGCTCAGATTACTCCTATATACACACACAAAAAAGGAAAGAGAAAAGCAATTTCTAGACCAATAGCAAATAAATTAAGTTCACTCTCCCACCCAGGAAGACAGTGTGTAGAAAGTATAAGAATCAGCAATAGTCCCACCTCTTTTTCAACTTTCGCAAACTCAGGTATTCTGCTCCCAATTGTATAACCGTGTGGACAACCGCGCCACCAACATTTTCTACCCTGATTTGTCACAATCATGTTTAGAGCATTATTAAAATTGAAATACACATTTTTAAACGTTTCAAATTTAACATATCAGCTTTAAGGAGAAAACAAAGACTAACGCTTATGTTGCAGATTACAAAGTATTTTCACATACATTATCTCATTTATTCTGCTGAAGAAGGCATCAGGATTCTCATTTCATAAGGAAAGAGACCGGCTTAAAGAGGGTAGGTAATAAGTCTAAAGTCAAAGGGATAAATCTGGAACTAGAAGCCCAAACTCTTAGTTTAATAAATACATTTTCATTCACTTCTTTAATGGAAGGACTGGGTTAACAAGTCACCTTGTTATTGATTCCCAATGTAACGTCATACATGATCTGCTATGATAAAACAGAGTTGAGCTATATTCAGTGAATATGTATCTCAAAGTCAAATGAAACGACTCCATTTTAACAAGCATCAGAAAATGCTAATGATATGCAGTCACTACAAAGTTGAGTGTATTCTTCAGTGTTTAAAAAATTTAAAAATCTATCCATATTTAGCCACCCAAAAAAATTTAACTGAATTGAACATGACTGTTTCTTGGGGCGCCTGGATGGCTCAGTCATTAAGCGTCTGCCTTCGGCTCAGGGCATGATCCCAGGGTCCCAGGATCGAGTCCCACATCGGGCTCCCTGCTCGGCAGGAAGCCTGCTTCTCCCTCTCCCACTCCCCCTGCTTGTGTTCCTGCTCTCGCTATCTCTCGCTCTGTCAAATAAATAAAAAATCTTTAAAAAAAAAAAAAGAACATGACTGTTTCTTAAAAGATTTTAAGACTACATACACACTTGACTAAATAATATAATTATTAACTTCTATTACATTTTGATTTAAATGCCTATTGTCTGAAGGGCTTAAAAAAGAAAAACCTTGCAATGTTAGTAATATCCTGTAGATTAATGAATGCTGAAATGAGCAACTTTTTTATTCACAATGCCCTCTACTGGTGGCAAAAGTGGTTCTAATATATTTATGACAGGAAGTTGGATTCGTTTCCTTACTGTGGTCCCCCACCACCTGCATATAAATCCTCTGGAATGCTTGTTAAAAATACAACTTCCCTCTCTCTGTGAAATATCTACAGATATTGTGATTTCACTACAACTAGAACTGTGCATTTTTAACAAGTCCCCCAATAAGTAAGTGGAGAATCACTGGTTTGGTTAGTTATATCAACACGTGACTTTCAAAGCACAGTAACTTTGTGAAAAACTCTGGAAAGGTATTATTATACTGGGTTTATAGATGAATACGGAGGCTCAAGACAATTTATTGCCCCAGGTAACATGCAAAAAAGTAGAACCACTAATATTTTCTTATTCCCGGAGGTATTGTGTCCTTAGAGGAAAGAATAACAAAATTCTATCAGCCTTAAAATTCAAATATTTATTTCTTTAAATACAGCTTATGTAAGCAGTACATGCTATAACTTCTCAATCCTGGCTTGACATGATAATCACCTGGGGAGTTTGTAAAAATGCTTATACCCAGGTCCCACATTCAGAAATGCAGATTTAATAGGTATAGAGTCAGCCTGGACATTGTTCTTTCTTTAAAGCTCCCAGATGATTATAATCAGCCACCAAGGCTGAGCATTATTTAAACCAGTAGTGCTCAGCCTATGATGTGCAGGGAATCACCTGGAGGACACAGACTACTGGGCCCACCCCCAGAGTTTCTTATTCAGTAGGGTCTGGCAGGGTTTGAGAATTTGCATTTGTAACAAGTTCCCGGTGGAGATGAGGATGCGATTCTGTGACTACACTTTGAGAACCACTGATTAAGAAATGTTGACTAGTGGTTCTCAACCTTGGCTACACATTAGGATCACCTGGAGAAATTTTTTAAATACTGATAGCCAGGTACACACTTAGACCAATTACATCAGAGTCTCTGGTGTGGGGGACCCAGGCATCTCTATGTTTAAAGCTCCCAAAATTAAAAAGGTTTATACAACCCATCAATATGTAAATGGGTACAGGGTGATCTTCCAAGAGCATAGTGTAGTATGCTGTTATCTCCAGAACTTTCTGGATCAGAAACACTTCTGTCCAGGCACATAATTAACAGACCTGAACGTGTGAAACACTACCCTATGGGATAAAATAGAAACTGCTTTGAGTAGCCTACAACACATTCCCCTCCAACCTCATCTATTGCCAAACCCTTCCTCCCTCCACTGCATATGTTCCTATTAAAATATTAACAACTCTATTGCAATTATCTGTTGTAACGTGACTGTTTACACTCTTCCTACAAGCTCTCTGGAGTCAGAGATTGCACCTAATTTATCTTGATTCCCCAGAGCCTAGTATGATGCCAAGCATAAGTGGTGCTCAATGAACATTTGTTGACTGAATACAGGTTGCTATCCCTACTTTCTGTAGAAAAGGTGGTGTCAAGAATGGCTTGTACACAACCTAGAATGTGAAAACAGATTTTGCATAACTAAAATAAAAAACTGAATACTTCTCCCTCATAAAGCTACTCTTATTTGGTATTGCTGTAAGTAAAAAAGGGATTATTTGCACTTAGAGATGATAAATTTCACTTGCCTTGGGATCTGCCACATCTTCAATTCATTAGTAACTTAAGAGCACCAAAAAGCTATTCTAAGAATCATCTAGCCAACTGTGATCCAAAAAGAAGTACAAAGACTTTGTGTATTAACAATGAGATGAAGTTTCCAAAAATCCTTAAGAGAAAAGGAAAAAAAGCTCAAAAACTACTGTTGTTTCAAAAATCCAAGTTTTTAAAGTTTGGACACACTAAAATCAAATCAATTTTGATTCTTTGGTTTCTGCTGTTCAATTTATAAGGAATAGTATTCCATGAGCAAGCTGCATATTTAACTCAGGTCAAGCAATTTTGGTATGTAGCCAAAAACTTAAGATTAAGTTTGGTATTCTCCTTTACCACCACAAAAGAAAACATCTGACTTTATCCTATAAAGGTGCTGTCTGGTCCATTCTACAGCCTTCTGGCTCTATGGTTTCTATGTGCTCCACAAATATTTAAAATAAACACATGTAGAAGTCTCAAAGCACCATAGGACTATATGCTTCCTCTCAAACTTTTTCAGTTTGTGGTCCTATGAGGCTGTATTTGAGGAAATCAATCATGTTAACTAAATATTAACATATTTGTTTTTAAAGGAGCAGTGATAATTACCTAAACATATACTTTATTCAACAAGTAATTACTGAGTGCCCATTATCTGCCAGGCACTGTTTTGGGAGCTAGAGTTGCACAATAATGAAAATAAAGCTCCTTATGAAGCTTACAACCTGGTATATTTTTTCTAGAAAGGAAAAAACTAGAAACATTCTAGGGGTCCAAACTCCAAATAGGGATTCTTTACAAGAGAGAGGGAAAAGGTAAGTATAAAAGTCATTAGTTTATAAAACTTGTTGGAAGGCTCCCAGAACCTCTGGAAAGGCTGATAAACCTGGAAAAAAAAGAAAAGTAATAAATGAAAATTTAAAATTAGTGTTTACCTTTGAATTCCTTCAAGAATATCCTTCACAGCTGCCATTAACTTTTGAAGAGATACAAATGCTTCTTCAAATGATACTATTTTTGAAGAAGTCAAAGCTGCATTTGGGCCCAATCTCTGAAATACATCCATGCTAAAAGAGAGAAAAATAGAAGATACTCATGCACATTTATTGTAATTCAAGCATTTTCATTTCTAATATATAAAATGAGGTAATATTTATAACTCCTCTCTCATAAACCTGATTTATTTAAATTAGAAATAAGAGACAGTGACTTGTGAATATCCAGGCTACCATTCATGCAAAGGATCTAGGGCAGCAACTATGTGCATCTAATCTAAAGTAATACCCTTCAAGCTGTGGGAATAAAGTTTCTTATCAAGAGACCATAAGGCACAGAATATTACTAATCTACATTCAAGTCAGTACATACATACTAACAGTACTCGGTACATAAGGATGAAGAAAAAAAAAAAGACATCAGATTTATGTGTTCGCTGAGACTGGAATAAATGTTCATGCATCTTACTCCGGTAATTCCAATTTTAGAAATCTATCACATATTAATAATAATTTGCAATTGGTCAACAACTGGTAACCACCTACACGTTCAACAATGTAAAAAGTGTTTATAGTGACTTAGCCACCTGATGAAATACCTAAGAACTATTAAAATAGTGCTTATGCCATCTAGAAGATAGAAAAATAAAGGTATACAATATTTATTTATATAACATAACAACCACCATATAAAAAAATCAAAACATATGCTGTACTGGGTTGAACAGTATGCCCCTGAAATTCATGTTCCTTCAGAACCTCAGAATGCAACTTTATTTGAAATAGGATCTTTGCAGAACTTCCCAAAAGAACCAACTCTGCAGACAGACAGCCTCCAGAACCATGAGTGAATAAATCTCTGTTATTTTAAACCATCTAGTTTGTGGTAATTTGCTATGGCAGCCCTAGGAAACTAATAAGCATGCCTTAAAACACAGTTTGGGGGGGGGGGCGCGCCTGGGTAACTCAGTTGGTTAAGTGTCTCTGCCTTCGGCTCAGGTCATGATCCCAGGGTCCTGGGATCGAGCCCCACATCGGGCTCCCTGCTTGGTGGGGAACCTGCTTCTCCCTCTGCCCGCCGCTACCCCTGCTTATACTCTCTCTCGTCATATAAATAAAATCTTAAAAAAAAAACCACAGCTGGGAGTACATAATAATAACCATGTTAACTACTGGTTACCTTTAGGTAGTAGCATTCAAAGGAAGTTTCTCACTTCACCGTATTTTCCAAAGCATTTTTTAAAATAATTGTGGTAAAATAAAAATTACCATTTAACATTTTAAAGTGTACAACTCGGTGGCATTCGATATATCCACAATGTCTGCAACCATCACCACTATCTAGTCACAGAACATTTTCATCATGCCAAAAGGAAACCCCGTATTCATTAAGCAGTCACTCACCATTCCTCCCTCCCCACAGTTCCTGGTAACCACTAATGTGTTTTCTATCTCTACATATTTAGCTATTATGGATATTTCATGTAAATGGAATCATATACCATGTGACCTTTTGTGTCTGGCTTCCTTCACTTAGCATGTTTTCAACATTTATTCATGCCATAGTGTGTGTGGATACTTCATTATGGCTGAGTAACATTCCATTTTATGGATATACACATTTTATGACACACCACATTTCATGTATCCATTCATCTGTTGATGAACATTGGATTGTTTCCACTTTGGCTACTGTGAACATAGTTGTGAACATTCATGCACGTTTTTGTTCGAACACTTGTGTTCAGTTTTTTTGGGTATAAATCTAAGAGTGGAACTGCTGGGTCATATGGTGATAACATGTTTAATGTGTTGAGGAAGCATAAATCTGTTTTTCCACATTCCTACAAGTGATGTATGAAAGGGGTAAAGCATTTTGACAAGTCTGCAAAAGGGAAAACTTAGGGAATCTGAAGAAATACAATGGTTCATAAGTATAGTTTCACCTTTCTAAAAGAAAAAGTATTTTGAAACCTAAAATACACAGGGCCTACTAGACCTTCAAATGAACATCTCTACATGAAGGGCTCAAGCATGAATATATTGAAAAGTTATACAGTGACTCTGGTATACAATCAGGCATGAGAAGCAATGAAGTAAGCCTTAATAACTATGCACTGATACAGCAATATAAGCATTTTTCATGTACTGAAATACAACAAAGTAAAGTCTATTATACAGAAATTACCTGGAACTCTAACATCCAACACAAATGTATGTATATTATAGGTCAATTCTAAGATAAAGTATTCAAATATTTTCTAAAAGAAGATTAAAATATCTTAGAAATGGCTTTAATCTATTTTATTTTGAAAGTGATAATCTCTGACTAGTATATGTGGTAACTTTCTGCTAACAAGAATATCTGGGGGTGCCTGGGGGGCTCAGTTGTTAAGCGTCTGCCTTCGGCTCAGGTCATAATCCCAGGGTCCTGGGATCGAGCCCCACATTGGGCTCCCTGCTCTGCGGGAAGCCTGCTCCTCCCTCTCCCACTCCCCCTGCTTGTGTTCCCTCTCTCACTGCGTCTCTCTCTGTCAAATAAATAAATAAAATCTTTAAAAAAAAAAAAGCATATCTGATTAGCCAAAACATTTCAAATACGTTAAGACTGGACAAAACAAAGATATGAAAATACAAATGCTTTATATGAAAACACAAATTTTTAAGTATTGTTTTCTTTAGCTATTGGTATTTCTTTAGCATGACAAACTACACATTTGTTTGAAAGAAATTATAATTGTAGCCAAGGGCTAAAAATGGGCCCTAAATCTACAGTATTCTAATAGAGAATAGATGTTTAAGAAGAGTATTCATATTTCTTTGCTGCTAGAACAGATGATCTTAATCCAAAATAACAGTGATACTGGGCCCTTGAACTAAAATCATACTAAAAAGCATCTATCATGACCTGCAAATGTATAATATATTTAAAATTATATAAAGATTATGGGCTTGGGAAAAAGTACAGGAGGGAGGGTTGGCCTACTTTAAAATCAGTTATCTTAAATTATTTTTTTAAGTTACTCCAGCATCATTTAAAGAACTACTCACAAATAGTCTCTATCTTTTCATTTTACCAGGAACGTAGTACTTTTATGTGTATCAAAGGAATAAAAGAATTTCTTCCTTTTAAATAAAAGTATTTATCTTTCTTTTTAAAAAGTCTTACATGAATTTTCCTTAATCCAAAATGACCTTTTCTTAGATTATTTTAAATTTTATTAAGACTTTGTGTCCTAATTTGTTTAGCCAATCTAGGTGGCTTTCATTGGTTTTGACATACATGGGAAATACTGCTAATGAAGGTTTCACATCTGAATCACCTGGAGAGATTTTTTTTTTTATGCACTATCTCAGTGTCACCTCAGATCTATTGAATCAGAATTTCTAGGGATAGAGCCTAGGCAAATATATTTTTAAAACACTCGAGATAAATCTGATTACACCCTTGTTTAAGCATCACTGTTTCTAAGGCACCAATTTGATAAAAGGCCCTCAGTAAGATAATCTAATACATTAAACTCACAACCCAAACACTAACTGTTTAATGAATAACAGTAATGATGGAAAAGCCTAAAATTCAAAAATTCTTGGAAATTTAGTACCTGTTCTGACATAACGTAATCCAAACATTCTCTAGGATAGACCAGATTTCTTCATGTCTGTTGGGTTGGGGAAGATGAGAACCTGAGAAAATGGTGATTTCTTGGTTATTAGACTTCATTAAAGAAATATCTTCTTGCTTTTTACCCACTGTAGTTTCTGAAGGATTTTGCTTAAGTTTTGCCTTGACCTGGGAAAATAAGAATTACACAAATTTCAGCTAGTCCTTCACTAGTGAGAGAAACAGAATACCGATTGTGCTTACAATGTTCTAGCTTTCCAAGAAGTGCTGAATATTCTTTGTCCTTGATTATGTACAGAATATTCCCAGAAAGGCATCAGAGCTAAAAAAATATATATATATTTTCCTTTCCCATTTATATCAAACAATATTTCCAATGTATTTATTATACTGATCTTTCTTAGCTAACAGGCCAATATCAATTTAAGAATACTGTTTGGACACTTCTCCACATATGGTATTAAATAAGACAGAGAACACCTAGGATACAATGATAAATATGTGGAATCAAGCCTCCAAGTACCCTACAATCCATTAACAAGAATGAGATGGCAAAGGGTTATTAAAAAAAAAAAAAACCAACAAGATAGAATGTAAACCTTTTGCCATTGAAGAAACCACTGAAGGTTTCTAACTTAGGAAGTGATAGATCCAGAACCGTACTCTAAGACAAACCAGAACAAAAGAGAGGCAAGATGTCTAGAAGGCTACTGAAATAATCCAGGAGAGTAATCCTGAGAACTTGAATTAGGTAGGAAACGGCAGTAGAATAAAAAGAAAAAGAAAAAAATGTATGCAAGAAATATTTTAAAAGACTTAGCCAAAGTCTAGATTCAGGGAATGAGGGAGACTCTAAGATTTTTTTAATCTGGATGCCTAGAAGAATAACGGCACAAATAATAGAACTATACAGTGTCCATAAGGTAAAAATAGATCAAACCCCCTTGATTTACTTCTCCAAAGGAAAGACACACTTTTATTTGGTAATAGTCAAACACATAAACACAAACACTTAAAAGCATCACATCTCAAATACATGTGCAGAAAGTGATGAAAATGCTTTTTAAAATGTGCCGCATTCATTGCAATCTTAAACAGCACTTCATATTATGCTGCCTTGCTGATGAGAAGCAACGCACTGAACGTATCATGTATTATAATGTAATAGCGGTAAGGCATTTAATGTATATTTATCTACATTTCTGGATTTTACGGCCACCTGTAGTAAAAGCCAAGAAGAAAGGCTGGTTATGGAAGAGAGGAGAAACAGACACAAGTTTGTGTTTAGAATGTTAACTGTAAAGAATAAAAAGATATTTAGGTAAAGATATCTAACAGGTAACTGGATACTCAGAGCTATAGCTTAAAAGATACAGCTGGGAATCATTCCCATGCAGACAAACCTCAGAGGTAGAGGAGATTGTTAGGAAAGAAAATAGCAAAAAAAAAAAAAAAAAAAAGAGGAACGTAAAGGGTAGACAAAAGGGAGGAAGGGGGGGGGAGGAGAAGGAAGAAAGAGACCAACAAGACATAAGAAGAGTCAGAAGTATTCGAACACAAGAGAAGCCAAAAGAGGTAAGTTTCAGGAAAGAGAGAGTGGACAACATCGGGTTGAAAAAGGCTAAGAAATTAGAAAGAGGGAGAAAAAGGGTGGATTTGATCATGGATTTGATCAATGATAACCTAATTCACTTAACAGCGTGTGGAGGTAGAATTCTACTTGTAAAGGATTAAGGAAGAAGTGAGTGAAGAAATGGAAACAAGGGTTATAGACTGCTCCTTAAGAAGTTGGGTAGTTGCTGGAAGGAGTTAGTGCAGTAAAAACCACGGCCAACAACAAGTATTTAAGAATACAGACCTGAGCATATTTTAAATATTGATAAATAAAGATACTCAGCAGAGTATAAGAGCTATACTATTGATTCAAATATTTTTTTTTAAAAATCACCTTGGGGTAAAATATTAACTTAAGTGGAAAAAAAATTCTGGTAGAATGAAAAAAAACTTTATGACTTTAAAAACTTGGGGGTTTTTTTGTCTTGGCTCTACTGTAACTTCTTTGTGAACTTAAATAAAATCATTCCATTTCTCTAGGCTTCCTTGTTGACAACAGTTGATAACAGTATGATTTCAAGTTAGCTCATGGGTTGTTAGTTTCAGGTTTATTAAAAAATAAAAAATGTCCAACACTATTAGTAGTAATAGTTAATATTTATTAAGCATTTCTTAACTCATAGGAACTTTCTAAGAACTTTGTATCTATTAGCTCATTTAATCCTCACAACTGCCCTATGAAACAGTTACTATGATTATCCATATTTTATAACAGACATAGAAAGGGTAAATAACTCATGCAAGGTCACACAGCTGGTAAGACTCATAAACAGAACTTGACCTTCAGCAATCTGATTCTGAATGGGGTTATGATTTCTCTCCAACAATAAAAGTAAATATTACCCTTTTCTATCTTTGCAGGCAGGAAGAAAGTTATTCCTCCTGTTTTTGCCTATTAATAAATATATGGATGGAAAGACATATTTTGTTCTAAGATATATTTTTTCTTTTTTTTTTAAAGATTTTATTTATTCATTTGAGACACAGAGATACGGAGAGAGAGAGCATGAGAAGGGGGAGAGGCAGAGGGAGAAGGAGGCTCCCTGCTAAGCCAGGAGCCTGATGTGGGGCTTGATCCCAGGACCCTGGGATCATGACCTGAGCCGAAGGCAGACGCTTAACCATCTGGGCCACCCAGGCGCCCCTGAGATTTATTTTTTTAATCACCACATACTGCCTCTTTTCCTCAGCTCTCAAATATCAGTGTATGTAACTATGCAGATGGACTTCTTTATCGAACACCTACATAGCACGTACTAGTGCCAGGCACTAAGTGCTTTACAAATACTAATTTATTTAATTCTCATGACAGTTCTGAGGCACAGATTATTATACTCATTTTACAAAAGAAGAAATTAGGCTCAGAGAGGTTAAATAACCAGAGGTTAAAAACACAGCTAGTCAGGGGCACCTGGGTGGCTCAGTTGGTTGAGCATCTGACTCTTGATTTCCGCTCAGGTCATGATCTCAGGATCGTGAGATCAAGCCCCATGTCAGGCTCCATGCTGAGTGAGGAGTCTGCTTAAGATTCTCTCCCTTTCCCTCTGCTCCCTTACCCCATTCTGTCTCTAAAACCAAAACAAAACAAAAAACTTAAAAAAAAAACAAAACACTAGTCAGGATGGGGATCCTCGGGCATATAGGTCTAAAGTTTATTAATAAGATGGACTTTAATTATTCTATCACCCTGGCAGAGCAAGTCTTATTTTTTTGGTTGGAAGGCTTATCAAAGAAAAATGTATGTATCCTTTTTCTGTTCCTATCCCATTTATATAAAAATCTGGAAAATGATCATTTTGGTTAACTCTCCGTTTTGTTTTCTCACAAGCCTTTTCAGAAGTAAACAAGTGAATATTCCTCTTTTCCTGATTTTCTACACTTGGTAAATTAAGTTTGGGGGCTTTCTTCTTCTTTTTTTTTTTTTTTTTTTAACAGTTACTATATTTAGATACCCTATCCCTGGAGGTAATCTATTGGTTGCTCAAGTTACTAAGACAGGACTAAGTATTTAGGTCATATACCATATCTAATGCATTCTACAAAACAACTCCTACTGAAAGTGAATTTTATTTTTTTTAGATTTTATTTATTCATTTGAGACACAGAGATGCAGAGACAGAGCACAAGCAGGGGGAGCAGCAGCAGAGGGAGAGAGAGAAGCAGGCTCCCCGCTGAGCAGGGAGTCCGACATGGGGCTCGATCCCAGGACCCTGGGATCATGACCTGAGCCAAAGGCAGATGCTTAACTATCTGAGCCACCCAGGCGCCCCTGAAAGTGTATTTTAAAAGCCCAAGCTAAATCTCAAAGTTCCTGGCTGACTTAGACAATGAACTGCTTCTAATATGAAAATAAAGGAGCAACACTTCAGAGCTCTAATCATGGCAACAACAGAGGTTGTTTCCAGCAATCACACTAATGCCAGGTATTGAGGGAGAAGCACTAATGAGGATGCAGATTCTTCGTCAATGGCCTTCATGAATCTCTTGCTAATGTAGCAACTGGAAAATTAGGATCCGGGAACAAATAACAATTTGAACAAAAAATTCATATTTTTATTTATTTATTTTTTTAAAGATTTTATTTATTTGACAGAGAGACATAGCGAGAGCAGGAACACAAGCAGGGGGAGTGGGAGAGGGAGAAGCAGGCTTCCCGCAGAGCAGGGAGCCCGATGCGGGGCTCGATCCCAGGACCTGGGATCATGACCTGAGACGAAAGCAGACGCTTAACGACTGAGTCACTCAGGCACCCCAACAATTCATATTTTTAAATATTCAGTGGACAACATATAGTAGGCATACCATTATCGATAACACTAAATTTTAATGCCACATTTTCATGGTAACTCCTATCTCTTCGTTTCCAATTGATGAAAGGACCTTAAAACTGGACATTGTTTTTTTTACCACAATTAATCCTAATTTTTTTTATTTTCAATAATCTTAATTCAAAGACTGATAAGCCTGTGAGTAACCTGAATTTTCCATCTTGTTTACTATGTTTGTTTCACTAAAGATGGGGTTTAGGATTCAATTCTGTGATGGGAAAGAATAATATATTGTTCCCTACACAATTCAAGTACAGACCCAAGCTGCAATCCCCTAAATACCCAGGTCCATTCTATCCTACAGATAGTTCTCAAAGTCACATTTGCCATGGAAAAATACAACTACCAAGGTTTTAGTCATCTTAACACAAAAGATCATTTCACCCCTTAAATCAATTCTTCCAGCAGGAGTTATCACATATTTCTTCATAGTTTATAAAAAGAGATGCTTCTTTTACTTCATGAGATACTTTCTTAAGCAAGTAAGTTCTTTCCCTACCAGCTATGACGAAGTTTAGTATCATCTAATCCTTTCATTACTTCATAGGTAGTAGGACCTATGTGACCACAAAACAACACTGAGAAAAACCTGGTCAACTCCATAACTCAGAAAGAAAAAAAAAGAATATGATATATATATGTCAGATGAAAGTACCATTAATGTCTTATCTAGTAATTGTGATACTGAATTTTTTGAGCTGTTTCTGACACATAAAACTCCCAGAATTTTCTAGATTTGAAAGTAGAAGCCTGCAGAAATAGAGTATTCCCAGAGACAAAACTTACACAGTTAATTTAAAAGAGGTCAAAAGGGGGGCGCCTGGGTGGCTCAGTTGGTTAAGCGACTGCCTTCGGCTCAGGTCATGATCCCGGGGTCCCAGGATCGAGTCCCGCATCGGGCTCCCTGCTCGGTGGGGAGTCTGCTTCTCCCTCTGACCCTCCTCCCTCTCATGCTGTCTCTCATTCTCGCTCTCAAATAAATAAAAAAAATAAAAAATAAAAAATAAATAAAAGAGGTCAAAAGGCATCAGTGCTAGGCTGACTGCATAAGGGTCACATGGGGGAGATTGTTAAAAACTGGTACATCAATTGCCAAAGTCTGAATAAGGTCTACAGATTAAATAATTGTATTATACCAATACTAATTCCCTGATTAATTATATTAGTTATGTAACATATCCTTGTTCTTTAGGAAATATATATGGAAGTATTTAGGGGTAAAGGGGGATCGTACCTGCAACATACTCTTAAATAGTTCAGAAAAAAAAATGTGGACAGATAAGTAGGTAGATAGGTAGGCAGGCAAAACAATAAAGAAATGTGAAAAAATGGTAACACTGGGGACTCTGGATAAAGGATATATATCAGAATTGTTTGAACTCTTCTAGCAACTTTTCTGTAAGTTTGAAATTATTTCAAAATAAAAAGTGAAAAAGAACAATATTACTGGGCCAGAAGTTTGATTCAATAAGGTTTGAGAGGGGCTTGGCATCTGCAGCTTTAAAAAAAAAAAAAAAAAAAACCTTCCCAAGTATTCTGATGGATGTTGTGATCCACTGATCTGGGGCACTGGGAAATAAGTAGTCAAACGACAAGGCACAGCTTGCTTCCATCCATAAATGAAACGATATAAAATTCCAACAACTTCTGTGACAGTGCTTCCGTAAGAGGATGTGTTTTATAACTTGCAATAAGAATTGCTTACTTTCTCTTCAATTCACTTAATAATCACTTAATGCCATTCATGTGTTGAAATAAGTTAGAATTAAAATATCCTTTACCTCTCTGTCTGCTAATATATATATTTTTTATTTTTTTAAGATTTTTTTTAATTTATTTTTTGACAGAGAGAGAGAGACAGCGAGAGAGGGAACACAAGCAGGGGGAGTGGGAGAGGGAGAAGCAGGCTTCCCTGCTGAGCAAGGAGCCCGATGTGGGGCTCGATCCCAGGACCCTGGGATCATGACCTGAGCCGAAGGCAGACGCTAAACGGCTGAGCCACCCAGGCGCCCTCTGCTAATATATTTTTAGAACATATGTGATTAGCTCCTCTAAATGGCATTCCAAAGGTATCTTACCTCTGTAAAGGTTTGGAGTAGTTCACTGACTTGAGCAAAGGCCTGTGGAAGAACACCATCATAATTTGACCGTGTACTGAATGCATGTAACAAACTTTTAGAATCCTGAAGCAGAAATTTCACTGTTGTAAAATCCACTGCACTGTTAGCTGGTAAGAGAAATTAAGAAGGAAAAAGGTAAGAATGAGTATTCAACACAAAAATGTCTTTGGAAAACCAATCTAATGTTAATTATGAAATTTAAGAAAAGTACACATTTATACCTACACACCACTCCTAATTTTTCTCTGTGGTGTAAAAAGCATTACAATTAAATTTAGCTAAAGACAATGCTCTTAGAGTGGATTTAGGTACTCTGTATTCTTCAGAAAAGAATTACCAAACAAGTTAAACAACAGATTTGCAAGACTGATTTTGTTTCATATACAGATGACTATGGAGGCATCAGAAAAGTCATTTGGTGGGAAGCATGTAAGTTACAGGCAGTACCTCCCATAACCAACTCAGTTAATCGTGTAGTGATTTGCCTTCAAATTCCATTACATCAAATGTAGTACTAGATTTGTTGAAAATAATGTTTCCTCTCTCTGAACACAACTTTAGCAAAAATATAAATAATTTGGGGGCGCCTGGGTGGCTCAGTTGGTTAAGCGACTGCCTTCGGCTCAGGTCATGATCCTGGAGTCCCGGGATCGAGTCCCACATCGGGCTCCCTGCTCAGCGGGGAGTCTGCTTCTCCCTCTGACCCTCCTCCCTCTCATGTTCTCTGTCTCTCATTCTCTCTCACGCAAATAAATAAAATCTTAAAAAAAAAAAAAAAAAATATATATATATATAAATAATTTGGGTAACAGTGAGCTGTGGGCAAGACAAGCTAGCAGAATTTTTTCCTTATAAATTAGCAAAGTGAGTTAAACTACAAAAAATAATTTAAAGGTATAACAATTTTCTTTCAACTAAAATTACTTACATTAAATTCTCAAACCAATTAGGAGGCGGTGACAACAATTTCAAAGATTTTTAAAAGTTATGAACAATGAAGTTAAGCAAATTTCTAATGTCACCAAAGCTCAGAACAGAAGAAATCTTTCCATTATTAGGATAGAGTGCCATATAATAGTTTTCAAAGGCATTTAAAATAACCGTGCTACAATGTGTTTGTTTTATTTTTTTTTAAGATTTTATTTATTTATTTATTTGACAGACAGAAAGCACATGCACAAGCAAGGAGAGCAGCAGAGCGAGAGGTAGAAGCAGGCTCCATGTGGGGTTTGATCCCAGGACCCCAGGATCATGACCTGAGCCAAACGCAAACACATAACCACTGAGCCACCCAGGCACCCTGTTTTATTTTCTTTTAATGTTCACAGTTTCAGAGACTCTGTTATATTCTGAAACACCAGCATGGTTTTTCATTGGTACTTAGAGTTTAAAAAACTCTTATCACTTATACAAGTATTTGCTTAGAAATACTGAAAGGTCAAATGAGAATCAAAAGTAGATTTTAGTAATTAATTATACAATATTCAGAAATTCTAATCTAATGTGATGGCTATAGTCAGGATTCTGGCTTCCCCTTTAACAAACAGAGAAAAGTGTATTCCCTTACGAAGCACTTATTTTTAAATTCAATGACTAGTTTAAATTCCTGTGGAAAAAGACAGGTAAGAGATGCTACACATAGGATAGAATGTAGATTTGATGAACCCCAGTAAATATCCTAAAGAGGAGAAACTGGGCACAACTTCTCTTAAAAGGTGCTTCTCCAATACAATGTACAATAGGGCTTATATCCTTGAATTAATCATCTGATTTCTGTCTTACAAGAAGTCTTTACTAAGATTATGTGCTAAAGGGAAATAACAATGATAAATTCAGTACCTAGACACAACATAAAAAGAAACCTACATGGTTGAAATACTTTAATGCTTATATAAGGTCAATAATCAAAGTTAATATGGATAACAAAATCAAAAAAAGCTACTAATCATTTTCCACACAATTTTCTATGAATTGATCTAAGAATCTATTCTTTGGGCTAGTGAAGTTAAACACATATGCATAATTCAACAGCTGAGGATACTATTAAAAGACAGTAAACAAAATCATAAACTGATTTTTCTAATTCAAAATTACTTTAGGGCAGAAGGCACTTTTACAATTCTATTATATATTCTTTACAAGTCAGTAAACATTAGGCATCAGATTCTTCTAGATCAAGGATCAATAAACTATGTATACAATGATTCCAAAAATGATTTTTTAGCAAAAGGAAGAGTCACCATCTCTTCACTTCTGTCCTATTCCCAGTTAGAGTTGCTGCCTACAACCTCTTAAGCCGTTTGCAAAAGACAAACACTGCCCACCCCTGGAAAAAGAGAAAAATGAAGGATGGCAACTAGATACGCCATTTTTAAAACTAAATCTTGTTCAAGATCATACATGATTTATGGACTTTCTCTTTTGATAGAACCAACTAAATTATGCTTCCATTCAAGATATGGAAAATGTTTCTATATACCTTGTAAAAGTGCTTTGAAGACGCATCCAACAGGTCGTTCCACGTCTCATATAATACCACTTATAAATAACTTCTATAGTTAAAGATAATGCCTGGAAAATGTCTTTATTTTAAAAATTGGCAACTTTTAAAAGTCGTAAGGCACCGAACCAGGTACTTTAAATCCCGAGGTAATTTTCAAAGATACTTACATTTCAAGGGAAAGATAGAGCGTTATGGTATACCTCCCATAGAATATGTTTCTATTTTTGTTTTGTTTTAGCTTCCAGGATGCTTAGTGTTAAAATCCGTGTTCAAGTTTTATAATAATTGTTTGCACATGTTTTATGGCAAAATTATCTTTCTTATTCTTCATTACCTGGCTCTTGTGACTTTAAAATTGGCTTAAACCATCTTGTGCTCAAGTTCTTACTTAATGGCCCTCTCATACTAACAGTTATTTTTCAAAAGTAGACAGGATATAACTAATACATAAAATAATAAACAGATCATTTCATGTTAGAAGTTCAAAAAAGTCAAGGACCAACTGAACATCCTAATAATTGTTACATATACTTTGCCTCTTAAAGGTACAGCAAGCAAAATCTACTTGTCTGACTTTGGACAAATCCCTTACCCTCTCAGGGCTAGTTAGTCTAATTATAGAACATGGGCTTTCATAATATTCAATCAGTGCTTTTCCCATCTTTTTCTTCTTACAGAGAAACTTTTTTTCCAAGGCCTACATGGAATCTCCATACATAAAATGATAAAAGAAAACTGCACAGCCCAAGTTGGGTTTGAGGTTCCACAGGTAGGCCCACCAACTTTCCAGGCTCCCCATCAATCCTTCCATTTCCAATCTATGGCAGCTCCAGAAGCACTTCAAGAAGGTTCTGTGCAAAATGACTTTGTTAAAAACCACCAACTAAGTGGTTGTCTATAGTCTCTTCCAGTTCTTTAGAATGCACTATGCCCCAAAGACAAACATTTCCTATTCCCTAACCATATATTTTAGATAGATACTTTGATATGCTATTTCTAAAATTAGTACATGAAATGTGGTCAGAGTTTATGTGTTAAACACAGCAAGAAACTTTTAAAAATCTAAATTTTATTGCACACCTGATAAACTGTAAAATATGGTTTTAAAAGTTTTCAAACATTATAAAACATGAGATATTCACTATGTCCAGGAACATCAACAGTGATCCATTAAGGATCCATATCATCCATATGATTGCAGGTCATAAGCTCTGTGAACTGCATCCATTCATGCAGCTGTCACAAACTCCCTTTAAAAATCAGAAGTGTAAATTATTTAAAAAATAATTGACCAATTTCTTATTAATTCATCTTCACATTCCATGGAATATATCAGCTAGCCTGACTTTAACACAACATTGCTAAAGACAAAATAAAAAATCCATACCTTTACAGAGATTTTCATATAGGCTCTCAACGGTTAAAAGCAAGTTTTTCTCCATAACTAATCCAAATACAGCCAACCAATGTTTTCTAAAGCACTGTAATAAATGAATTAGAGTCCATGGTGGTTTCAAGTACAGCATCTAAAAAGTATTTAGAAAAAATTACCACCTACTAATTATTTATTCTTCCTATTATTAAAAAGTACCTATTTAGGCATTCCTACATTTATTTCTGGGCAAAATACAGTTAGTTGAATTTTTTTTTTTGTTTAAGATTTTATTTATTTATTTGACAGAGAGACACAGCGAGAGAGGGGACACAAGCAGCGGGAGTGGGAGAGGGAGAAGCAGGCTTTCCGCAGAGCAAGGAGCCCAATGCGGGGCTCGATCCCAGGACCCTGGGATCATGACCTGAGCCGAAGGCAGATGCTTAACGACTGAGCCACCCAGGTGCCCCTAGTTGAACTCTTTTTAAATTAAAAGATGTTTTATTAAAACCCAATCGTAATCTTAAAGTGCTAATTCCATTGCAAATTATTTTTGTAAAATTCATATTGGTATTAATCTTTATAGTTTCAGAAACTATATACACAAAGCAAAAGCACTGTTTTAATCAGGAGAGCAGGTTTTAATCAGGAAAGGTGGTCAATTTACTTCCCAACGTAGTCAATTCTAGGAAGAAATCAATCTAATTATTTCATATAGCTGCAGGAAAATCTATATAGAAAAAAGATGTCAACTACCATAACACTGACTACACTCTCATAAAGACATGTTTATAAAGGAGATTAATCAGTTAGTACTATAAGATGTCAGCACATCCTGTTCTGAATCATTCATATGCAATGACTTTCGTAGACTCTATTATAAAACATCCAATTTAAGTCAACCCTCCTAGAATCTTCTGATCATTTCTCATCATCTTGGTTCAGTACTTAATAATATAATCAAGCAGCAAATACATCATACTGACAAGTATTAGAATCTCACTGAATATCTGGTATAAATACAATCTACAATTGAGGGGGATATAATATTTCTCCTGGCTATAGATACGAACAGCAAACAAACATTAACTAAACTAAAAAGACCACTATTGCCAAATGTGGTATTTTACTGATTGCAGAAAAGATATGAATCTAGGGGGTGCCTGGGTGGCTCAGTCACTGGGCGTCTGCCTTCGGCTCGGGTCGTGGTCCCAGGGTCCTGGGATAGAGCCCCACATCAGGCTCCCTGCTCAGCGGGGAGCCTGCTTCGCCCTCTCCCACTCCCCCTACTTGTGTTCCTGCTCTCGCTGTCTCTCTCTCTCTAATAAATAAAATATTTTTTTAAAAAAGATATTAATCTAGAAAATATAAACTATCTTGCTAATAATGATCATTTTTATACTTTGATTCTCACATTTATATAACATGAGCCAAAATATACACTTCTTTTTCTGAATATATATTGCTATGGGAATTCCCTGTACTAGACATTCTAATTCAAATAAACTACAGAAGACAGAAGTTTTTCTGAATTCAAATTGAGCTCCATGGGGGCAATGTGTCTGACACACAGTAAATACCTAATAAATACTTGTTCACTGAAAAAAAATGAATGATAAAATATCATTTCTAATCTTTAGGAAATGTTCACCATTTAATGTTCAAGAAGTTCTTTCAAAAACTGTAAGAAAAAAAGTAAATGGGATATAGATTATCACAATGAAGCTTACACATTTTATACAAGTCATATTTCCTAAGATAAGGTCATAAATCTTTAGCAGTGAAACAGAAATTTTCAACTAATAGAGTTGAAATTATCACCTCCATCCAAAGATTTCCAAAAGCAATTTTCATTTCTGTTTCTAATATTGAAGATAAAGCTGTTCCAAGAGATTTTTCAAGATCAGATACAATGCTTTCAAGTATAATGGGTAGTCCAGAATGTGCAGATTCTTCCTCATAGCTCTCTTCTAACAGTGTTGCTTCTTTAAAACAAACAGTTATAGGCTTTATTTAAGACACCAATAGAATAGTTAGTATTTTACATATATAACTAGTATTTGGCCATAAATAATAAACATTTTATGTATAGAATTAGTATTTAAATTACACAGAAACCAAACCAATACTTTCCTTTTTAAACAGTATTTAGAAACATGTATCTATAGAAAAGTTGTTTTGAAAGCAACATAAATATATCACATTAGCAAATGCTTTCTTTTTGACGAAAGGCAACAGAATATTTTTACTAAAATAGAAATTTAGGAAATGTGTAATATTTTAACCATAATTTTAGTTTTATTATTCTCCAAAAAAAGGAAAAATTAAAAGAATGCTTTGCATCAATTTATAATAGAAAATGAAGAATTATGGATCAAAGTGTGTTTTCTTCCAAAAATAATATATTCTTCCAATAGCAGCTCACATCAGTAAATTGTTTTGAAAGGACCAAACTCTCTAGTTTAACTACCTTTATGCCCTCCCTTTTAAAGTGAGTTTTTATTATTTCAATTGATATCATTTCATTAACATTAATATTTTGATACCTGAAAACAACTGCAATTTCTTTATGGCAAAATGCAAAATATTAAGTGGCTTATTTCTACAAATACCAACTAAGGACTTAAAGTGATAGTAACAGAATGGACAAACTGAAAGCATGTTACCTCTGAAAAACCATAAATTAAAAATCCTCTTCCTCCATCTAAATGTCATTTTGAATATTACGACAAAAGAAATTTTATTGCCAAAAAGGTCAAAAAAGTAGTAATAGTATATATATGAATTTTTATATAATTATACATAAAAAATACATACAATATTAAAGATTTCAATATTTATTTTTCCAACTCAGGGAGAAGGCTTGGAATGTATTTTTAAATTATGTTAAATTTAATATGACATTCCATCAAATATCAAGCTATAGGACAGATTATTCTGGTAAAAAAAAAAAGACAAAACAATTGTACTACCTTTACTTATTAGTTTAAAATTAAAACTATTATTAGAATATTTCAAACTCTTCTTATTACTTGGTTTTTTATTGCGTTAACAGAAGGTTATGAATAGGAAACTAATATTGAAAGGAAACTAAAAATTTCTCTCTACCTTGAATGAATATTTTCTGTATTTATCCTGTAGCTACTATTATTTTAAAGGTACAAAATAGCATGTGCATGGTGATTATAAACATGTAAAAATGTGAGTGTATGGACAAAAATTCAAATTATTTTGTAAAAGCATATGTAGAAGACAATAATGTTAAATGTGTTGTCTTTTGGATTACCATTATAATTTTCTTTCTTTCAATTTTCATTTATTTCTAACCATTTGTGTGCCGACAAATATTTCAATGTTATTTTAAATGTACAAGATGAAAATTTACTATTAATTCCAAATGTTATCAATAATGTCAGTACATAAAAGATATATTTCTAATTATTTGTAGTAAGAATACTACCTGCTTTCAATTGTTGCTTAGATATACAAGGCTGATGACATACATCTGTGTTCAGAGATAAGTTTAATAACTCTGCACTCAATTCTTCTTTACTGAGTGACTTCACACCACTTATTAGGCCTTTGTTTCTTAAATTTCTATCATCCCTAAGGTTGGGGTTAGGAGGAAAAAATATTTTATTTTTTATAAGATAAATCACATGGCAACTCAAAACACATGGGATCTAATCAGAGGTGGGTGATTCTCAACATGTGTATTAACAAAGGATAACAGTTTTTTTAAAACCAGGAAGATAAAGGAATTAATATACAGTAGAGTCACAGCATATGAGCTTTTGAAAATAATAAGTATTATATATTGAGTGTTTTCCTGGTATCAGGCACTGTTCTAAGCACTTTATATATATATATATAATCCATTCAATTCTCACAGTAAACCTCATAGGTAGGAGTAGTACTATTTTTATCACCTTTCACAAATGAAAAACTGAGGTGTAAAGAGGTTAAGTAATTTGCCCAAAACTGTACCTGGTAAGTGGGAGCTGGATTTGAACACAGGAATATGATCATCCAAAGAGAAATAAACAGAGAGCCATAGTAAGAGAAATAATTTCCATGTGGTAGGCAATTACAAATTTACTCACAGTAAGCATAAGACAAATGGTGAGAATTTGCTATTTGCTGAAAGAAGAAAGTCTAATTAGAGCATAGTGCATGGGACCAGTTTATGTGGCTATAGAGAAAGCCAAGTGCATTAATAAATGGAAAGACATTCAGTGAGTAAGTGACATGATCACATCTGTGTTTATCAGATTGCTGTTCTGGAATCCAACAGGCTTCCAGCTTTTGTTAACGGTAGAGTAGCCTGGTCAGACTAATCTTCCCACAGATGAGGATTAGAAAATTTGGACCAGGGGCGCCTGGGTGGCTCAGTTGGTTAAAGCAACTGCCTTCGGCTCAGGTCATGATCCTGGAGTCCCAGGATCGAGTCCCGCATCGGGCTCCCTGCTCAGCGAGGAGCCTGCTTCTCCTTCTGACCCTCCCCCCTCTCATGTACTCTCTCTCATTCTCGCTCTCTCAAAAAATAAATAAATCTTAAAAAAAAAAAAAAAAGAAAATTTGGACCAAAAAAGAAAAAAAAAAAAGCTATCTGAAGGCACTAGGGAGCAATAAAATGAAGGTAGGAGCTGGAGGGAAGTCCACCCTCAACACAGAGGTACTGCTCTGGTAAGAGCTACAAGAGTCTATCTGTTTGCCCAAGGGCATTCTCTAATTCATCAATGGCTACAACAGAAAGCACAGCCACAGTAACTTGGAATGTAAGAAGACAATGTTCAGAGCTGGCCAGAGCAGACAAAAAGTTAAGGGGGGAACTGAAGAAGGGAGGAAACCACAGAGCAGGTGAACCCTAAAATCTGCATATAAATTCTGCCCAGAAAAAAACAACATGCTACCAAGAGACAAAGCAATCAACAGAACCAGACTTCGATATCACACAGATGTTGAAGCTATCTGATAGGGAATTTTAAATAATGTTGATTAATTTATTAAAGGCTCTAATAGAAAAGATGAATAGCATGCAAAATCAGGTAGGCAATTTCAGCACAGGTGAAAATCATGAAAATTAAATGTAACTGCTAGCAATAAAAAAAAAGCCACAGTTACAGAAATGAAGAATGTCTTCAAAAGGGTCCTCAGCAGACCTGACACAGGCAAGGAAAGAAATTATAAACTGGAAGACAGGTCAAAAGAAATTACCCAAACTGAAATAAAAAAGAGAATAAAATTTTTTTTAAAAAAATCCAGCAGCTGTGGGATGACATCAAACAGTCTGTATTAGTTATCTATTGCTGTATAACAAATTATCCCAACACTTAGCACCTTAAAACAAACACTTATTATCTCACATAGCTTCTAAGAGTCAGAAATCTGGGAGCAGCTTGACTGGTTGGTTCTGGTTCAGGGTCTCTCACAAAGTTGGAACATGCTGTTGCCTAGGATTGTAGCCATCTCAGAGGTCTAATTGGCTCATTCATGTGGCTGTTGGCAGGCCTTAGTCCATCACTGGCTCTTGGCTGGAGGCTTCAGTTTCTCATCATGCGGGTCTATTTCATAGGGCTGTTCACAGCATGGCAGCTTGCTTCCACAAAACAAGTGATTTGAGAGAGAAGAAAGCAAGAGAGTGCCCGAGAAGGAAGTTCCAGTCTTTAATATCCTAATTTTTTATAACCTGATCTGATAGTGATAGTATGTCACTGGTACAACCAACCCTGGTATAATGCAGGACGGGACTACACAAGAGCATTAATACTAGGAGGCAGGAATCATTGGGGTCATCTTGGAAACTGGCTACTCTAGTATAAGTGTAATATGAGAAGGAGAAAAGAGGGAATGGGCAGAAGAAATATTTGAAGAAATGGTGGCTGAGAATTATCTAAAACTGAAAACAGGAAACCAGAGATCTGAGAAGCTCAGAGAACATCAAGCAGAATAAATCCTTCTTCTCTACCCATCCCCCCAGCCCCGCGCCACACACACACAAACACCTGGACATATCTGCTAAAAATTGCTAAAATAAACTGCTAAAAAAGCAAAAGACAAAGAAAAACCCTTGAAAGCAGAAAGTAAAAAAAAAAAAAAAAAAAACACATTACATATAGAGGAACAAAGATAACTTTTACATCAGACTTCTCATCAGAAACCATACAAACTAGAAAAAAATGGAGTGACCTCTTTAAAATACTGAAAGGAAAAAAAAAAAAATCAACCCAGAACTGTATATCCAGCAAAAATATCTTTCAAAAATAAATTAAGAAATAAAGACATTATCAGACAGACAAAACCAAAAATTTCACTGCCAATAGACACATACATGTCAAATAAATTTGTTTAGGCAGAAGGAATATAACACCAGACAGAAACTTGAATCTATAAAAATAATTAAGAGTGCACAAAATGGAAATAAAATATTCACTTAAAATATTCACTTATTTTTAATTGCTTTAAACATCAAATGATGGAAGCAAATATAGTAAAACACATGCTTATCATCATTTTTGTAAAGGTAACATATATGACAATGATAGCACTAAGGATGGGAGAAAGAAACTGTTATAAGATCCTTACACCTAACATGAAGCAATATAATATTATTTGAAGGTAGACTTTGATCAAGTAAGATATATACTATAAATGCCAGGGCAACCATTAAAATATTTACTTCAAAAAGGTATAAATATTCAATAATGGAGATAAAATGGCACCATAAAAAAATACACAATTAACTCAAGAAAGAAAAAGAAAAGAACAGATGAAACAAATAGAAAATAGCAAAAAGGCAGATTTGATCCAACCAATTAAATGTAAGTGGTATAAATTCATCACTTAAAAGACAGAAGTTGTGGGGCACCTGGGTGGCTGAGTGGGGTTAAGTGTCCGACTCTTGATTTTGGCTCAGGTCATGATCTCAGGGTGCTGAGATCGAGCCCCATGTCGGGCTCCACACTGAGTGTGGAGCCTGCTTGATTCTCTCTCTCTCTGCCCCTCCCTGCTTGTGCGCTTTCTCTCTCTCTCTCTCTCTCTCTCTCTCAAAAGAAAAAAAAAAGACAAGTTGTCAGACTGGACAAAAAATAAAGTACCAACTATATGCCACCCACAAAATACTTACCTTCATATAAAGACACAGGTTAAAAGTAAATGGATGGGAAAGGATATACCATATAAATACTAACAAAAACAAAACTGGAATGGTAGTATTAATACTAAACGAAGGAGACTTTCAGGAACAGAGACATTATATAATGAGAAAGGGGTCAGTTCTCCGAAGACAATCCTAAACAATCCTAAAAATGTATGCATCTTACTACAAAGTTTTTATAACACATGAAGTAAAGCAAACAGAACTGAAAGGAGAATTAAACAAACCCAGAATTATAGTTAGAGATTTCAATACTTCTCTCTCAATAATCACAGAATAAGCAGACAATTGGTAAGGTTATAGAAAACCTGAACAACACTATCAACCAACTTAACTGAAATTTATAAAATGCTCCACCCACAAAAGCAGAATATAAATTCTCTAAGTGCATGTAAAACATTCACCAAGATAGACCATATTCTTGGCAATAAAACAAACTAACAAATTTAAAAGAAATCATATAATGTTCTCAAATCAAAGTGGAACTAAAGTACAAATTGATAGCAAGAAGAAAACTGGAAAATGTGCAAATATTTGGAATTAAACAACAAATATCTAAGTGTCAAAGGGAAGTTATATTGAACTGAATGAAAATAAAAATAGAACATCAAAATTTGTGGGATCCAACTGAAACAGTGCTGACAGGTAAATTTATAGCAGTCTCAAACAAGTGATCTCAGCTTCCACTTAAACTAGAAAAAGGGCACAAAGGGGCATAAAAGTATTTTCTGGGGTGATGGAAGTGTTCTATGTATCGAGAGGGATGTGGGCTACACCAGTATACCCTTTGTCAACATCCTATAGTAAAGATTTGTGCATTTCAATATTGTACATTTTCCCTCCAAACACAAAAAACCTTATAAAAATAATCATGTGGGAGGACAGGGAGTAAACAGATATAGATAACAGAAGAATGGGAGAATTTTGATAATTGTAGCTGAATACTTAGGAGTTTATTAATTCTTCTTCACTTTGACTATCGTTGAAATTCTCCATAATAAAACTTTTTTTTAATTAAAAATGAAAAATTACCATTATTACTTTGTGAAGAATAAATGGAGGAGAGCAAATATGGAAGCAGAGAGCCTAAATTAGTCTTAGAGTCAAAAAGGAAGTGGAAAAATAGCATGGCAGACAAAGGATGGTGGCAGGGGAGATGAAGAAAAGATCGCACAGGACCTGTTAACTGACCAGATATAGATTATGAGGGAGGAGTGGTTATCAAAAATGACTCCTAGGTTTCTGGCTCTAGCAAATGGGTGGAAAGTGGCACCTTTTATTCAGATGGAGAACAGTTTAGAAAGAAAAATCAAGAGTTCATTTTTGGAGATGGTACGTCCCAGATGTCTATGACGCATCCAAGTAGAGAAAGCAAACAAATAGATGAATATACTAGTATAGAATTCAGGAGAGAGAGAGATATGAACTAAGGGTTGCTGGCCCACACTCAGGATTGTAAATTTAAAGTAATGCACTTAGAATTAGGTACAGTACATAGTGTTGGAGAAAGGTTCTCCTAGCACTGTCATTATCAATATTATCATCATCATCATCATCCATTTAACAGCATCTTCATAATAAGTAGGTGGGACTTATGCAGTAGACACAATTCCGGCCTTTTAAAGGAAAAAATAAAAATAAAAACCAGGCTCCCCTAGAACATAATGCTAGAATTAAAAGTAAAGTCCGACTACAAATTTTCATTTCACTAAAAATGTTACATCCGTTAATCCCAAAACAGTGACTACAGAAATAATGGAGAATTGATAGTCTCACCAATTTAATTTTCATTCTAAGTTGAACTAAAAAAGCAACAATGACATAGCAATTATCTCTCAAATTTAGCTTATATCAAATTCAAAATGATTAACATATTAATTATGCTGTTTCAGCCTTCCACAAACTCCAAGATGATATGTTATGCCCAGGATCAAAAACTAATTTTAAAATAACCTAGAGACAGAAATCTTTAATATTCCCTTTAATCCCCAATAGAACACCATACCATCATCTTTGAAGACAGCTAAAATGAGAATTTCTTAAATATTTTTTTAAAATTTTATTTTAATTCCACTCTAGTTAACATACAGCATTATATTAGTTTCAGGTGTATAACATAATGATTCAATGCTTCCATATATTTAAAATGATAACTGACCAAACTGCCTTACAAGAAAAACCTTAGGGCTATTCATTTCTATAATTGCTGTATTTCATACAGAATTTGGCATGATTGTGAAACTGTAAAAAAACTCCACTTTTCAGTGAATAAAACTCAGACGAAAACAACAGTTTACAATTGCTCTTCTTGGTTCCTTCAGAGCCTTTTCTCATACACGATGGGTTCAATTTTGCTTAACGTTATGTTAGTTTTACCTTAGAACTAAGTTATGAAAATACTAGTTGGGAATGGAGGGGAAGGAGAAAGGGAAGAGGAGGAGAAGACTCTTACTGAGATCATTTTATGTACTGGGCACTACTCTAAATGCTTTATGTATACATTATCTAAGTACTCACAATAACTCCAGGAGGCAGGTATTAGTATCCCCCTATATTTTACATGTGAGGAAACTAAGGTAAGCAACTTTCCCAGGTCACAGGGCTGGTAAATGGGAGACCCATGACTCCAGCCCTCACTCTATGAACAGGCACCAGAGGCGTACCACCAACATGAACTGCCTCTTCCCCACAAATTAATTGATTAACCTTCTTGCCTCTTGACCAAAAATTTGTCAGACTTTTATTTCTGAACTATTTTGTTGACAGATTAAATTGGCTGTTCTCAGCTTTTATAAAAGGTTTCTGAATGTCATATAAATAAAACTGAAGACTTCGTAAGTTTCAAATCTCATTCTTCTATAGTTTACACATTATAAGAATGTGACACAAAATTGAATATGCTTACTGGCAGTTTTCGAAAATCATGTACGTTTTTCATCCTTAGTCTGGTGGGTATAATATGACTTCTAAAAATTCTCTGGTATAGTTGCTATTTAGAAAAAAAAAAAAAAAGAGTAAAATGACTATGAAACTCACGTGCACAGAATAACAGTAGAACAAGGGAATAATTCCTGGTACTGAAGACAGCATTTTAATACTCGGTCATCATTGTTCTCGTCATTCAGTCCATCTGCAAATTTAGCAAAAGCGGTAATCAATAAGCATGCTAAAAATCTGGACAGTATTTACAAGTCAAAAAAATCTAAAAGAAAGAACACTTCTTAAATCAAAAGAGAAAAATAAGACACAGCAAAACAATGCCTTAAAAATTCGGGATCTAGAATTCATGTAGAATTCCAAAGAAGGTAGAATTCAGGTAGAATTACCAAAGTAGTTAGTTTACTACTAAAATGAAATAGGATATGACTATTAATAAACACAAAAGAAAGAAAGTGATCCAGTAAGTTAAATGCCATACTAGAAACCTAAAGCTATGAATTCTAGTCTCAATTCAGTCACTTAGAGATTATAAATTATAGGATTATATCATGCTTAAAATGACCTCCACCTAAAAGAGGTCTATAAAATAATGAATAACTCTTCTACCAGCAACAGAACCATTTTCATGTGTCTGCTTTTCCCTAATCTCTAAACAATTAACATTTAGAGATGCATAGGAAAAGGCGATATGGGCCCTAGGTAGGAAACACAAAAATTTCTACCAAGTGTTAACGAATGGCTGACAGAGCGTCCTCTGGCATTCTGCAAGCTTTAAAGCATGATGTAAAAGTTTGGATTTTGTGAAAATGATGTAATGTGTAGAAAAACAAGACCAAAGACAGTGTTTTTCCTAAGTCCTTACACTGCCTGCCTCAAAACTCCCTCGGGTACCTAATAATATTTCAGGGCCACACCCCAGACTCACTTCTGTATAAGAATCTTTGGAGTCTGGACCCAAACATGAATTTAAATTCCTTGGTGAGTCTCTTACACACTAAAATTCAAGATATACTAGACAAGGAGCCTCAACTCCGTTCCCAGACTATAACTCTTTTCCCCTCAACTTTTAGCCTATATTACTTAGTCCTCTAAACATTCAAATTAGAAAACTCATTCAATCAAGGAATAAATTTTTATATAGGGCTGAATTTGTACCCAAGCCTCTGTGCTAAGTAACTGGATATACAAGGACAAACTCTTGAGGAGCTCACAATCTCTAGTGAAGTCTAGAGAGAACTGAATTGATCTCAGAGCATAAGCCTGAAGATATGATTCAGTTCTTTTATCAGACAACCAGTAAGCCAAGCAGACATATACTACAGTAGCCGATTTTCCTTCTTTTAGTCCACAGAGTAAATACCACAATATAAGGCAAAATGGGCAGCAAAAAACTATTAGCTTTAAACAACTCAGCAGATGAAAGGTTAAAGGTTACAGTATACTGTTCTAAAGGTATCAAAGTTCAATATTATCTGTTCTGTCACTTTTTCTAGAATACGTGGGGCTTGAAAACATACCTAAAACTGCAAGAATATTCATGAAATATTTATTCAACAAATATTTCTGAGCACCTGCTCAGGTACTGTTCAAAAGTGAACAAAACAAAGACTCTGGAGACAGATTAATCTGGGTTTGAATCCCTGCTTTCCCACTTACTAGCCATGTAATCTTGGGCAAACTGCTTAACCAGGAAAATGAAATAAGAAAATTTATAGGAAACAGTTGGCTCAATAAGGGGTAATAAAAAGTACTTTTTAAGTAATATATATTTATTAATTAAAACTCAGCTCAAATGGCACAACAGCATGACCTCTACTCACAACACCAAAAACCCCACAAAATTCTGTATAAGTTATAGTTAATATGATATTTAATATTTAAGAATTTAAGCTTCTCAACAGCTTCTCACTGATGCGGCCCAGAACAGTGTCTGGTATAGGTATTTGGCAAATACATGAATCAACAAAAATATAGTAAAATATAAAAATGATGGAGGGCGCCTGGGTGGCTCAGTTGGTTAAGCGACTGCCTTCGGCTCAGGTCATGATCCTGGAGTCCCAGGATCGAGTCCCGCATCGGGCTCCCTGCTCGGCAGCGAGTCTGCTTCTCCCTCTGACCCTCCTCCCTCTCATGCTCTCTGTCTCTCATTCTCTCTCTCAAATAAATAAATAAAATCTTAAAAAAAAAAAAAAAGATGGAAAAAATGTCAGGTGGGGGGGTGGCAGATAACTATTTTTCCCTTATTATAAAAATAATTTAGAAAATCTGGATAATGCAGAAAACAAAGAAAATTAAAATAACTCATAATTCCATCAGCTAAATATATCCAACATTCACCATCTATAAGTATATAATGCATAATCTAACAAATTTGGGATGATCTTTTTTATTCTTTTAAATCCTATTTTGTCATTAACATTTTTTGAAATACAGTAGTATTCTTTCACATAGCTATAGTATTATATGCAACTTCTCCTACTGTTAGACACTCAGGTTGTTTCAAATTTTTTGCTGTATTAATAATACTGTTATGAACCTTACTTATATAAATCACTGTCGGCATCTCTGATTATGTCTCAGAAAACATTTCTAGAAAGAGAATTGTATCTTTAGGCTTCTTGAAACACATTGATAAATTGCTCTCCTGAAAAGTTAGTAATTCATATTCTCAAAGCACTGGTATGATGCAAAAGAATAACTTTCTAAACTTAGAAGCAATAAAAAGAAGAAAGGAAAAGTGAAAGATCTAAACTAAAAATATCTATACACCAGAAATTAACAACATTAAAAACGTCAAACAGGAGAATATTTGCAGTGAACAAGGGGCTGCTTAGTTGTACTTCTTTTGTGAATTACCTATTAATAATCTTTGTCCATTTAGGGAAAAGGGATTTTTTGTTTTTCTAGTCAATCTGTATAAGCTTTTCATATAACAAGGATACAAGAGAATTATTGCCTATTCTAGGCCATAAACCATCAAGTACTTTAACTCAACCAATCTTCACAATCATTTTTTGAGCTGGAGGTTATTTTCCCCCATTTCATTGACTTAGTTGCCTCATCTTTAACTTTCCCCAGGTCAGGTTATAAACCCAGATCAATCAGATTTCAAATCCTATTCTCCTCTCACCACACTAAATACTACATCAAATAAATACAATTTTGAAAAGAGTTAAGGACAAGGCTAAAATTATAGTCAACGAAGGCAATTTAACATGAACTATCTACATTTCCTTTTTTGATGGAAAAATGCCTGTTTAAAAAATACATTGTTACAATACTCAATGATTATGTAAAAGGAAAATAATACACACAAAATTAGCAATTATTAAGAGCTAGTTGCAAATGTGCTTGACATTTGTAAAGTATAATAAAAGTTCATTTTGTTTTTGCCTTTTTCCAAACAGGAACTTTAATTTTACTCAGGAATCTTGAATTGAGTTTTCTCATAAGAATATTAGTTTATCATTAGAATATAAAATGTAATTTTATTATGATAAAAATTTCTAATGGATATCATAAAATCGTTATCAACAGAATAAACCTATTAAATACATTGTACTTTATATAAAGAATGTTTTTAATGATCAATGAAGAAAACAGTGATACAGAGAAACACATAAAGGACTTACCTGACATAGACAATTACAAATAATCTATTATTATATCTATGACCTTATAACTAAAAGCAATTTGAGCAATTTAATAAAAACTACAATCAAATACCATTCAAACATTAAAGTAAAATATGGATTTCGAGGAAGACACCCAGAAATTGAAACAACACAGACATCTGAGACCACTACTATGATTTACCCTCCTCAATCATCAAAAAAAGCAGAGACTGAGGAAGTCAAAGCATCAAAAATGCATATGAACATGGAAAAGTCAAAGGAAATATACCAAACATCTATAAATAATAAATGTGGCTAAAATATCTATTCTAAAATGAGCTCTAAAATAATTTTCAAAGCAAATCTATTGAAGAAATAGACATGCTTTTTAGGACAAGTTCTTAACCTCTCTGTCTCAATTTCCTCATTTATAAAATGGGGCTAATAACTTCCACAAGTACTGTATGGTTTGAATGAGATATTAGCTGGCAAAGCACTTGGAAAAGGGTCTGGAGAATAATGACTATATAAGTGTTATCCATTATTATCATCCTTATCCATACTATTAAATAATAAAATATAGTTTATATCAACAAACTAAAAAAAGTAGAAGATTAAGAGTAAAAAAAAATTCTCCTCTCCTTTTAAGGTTTGGGGTTTTACTGACAGGATGGTTTAGATCAGGGGTTAATTTTGTTAATTGTGTAGTTGTTAAAAAAAAAAAAAGTATCACATACTTTTTAGTTAGCAACACATACCAAAGTATTTATGAGTAAAAATGATATGATACAGTATCTGGGACTTGCTTCAAACTACTACAGGAGTTCCAAGAGTAGAAAGAGGAGAAAAGGAAATGAGAGAATAAACAAGAATGGCAAAATGTTGATAATTACTGAAAAACAGTGAGAGGTACACAAGGAGTCATACATTATTCGACCTCTGCATTTGAAATTTTTCATAATGAGAAGTTAAAAAAAAAAAAAACCACCAAGATGTTCAATATAAATGTTCAAACATTTTAGTATTTTCTTAACTTTAATATTTGTGGTTCTCCTTTAAAAGCTTTTAAACATACCACACAAAGCTGCTCAAAATGCACAAGGATTGTATATAAAACATACTAAGAGCTAATAAATATTTGTAAAGGGAATGAATGAATGAATTATGGAGGCCCTTTTTCTTCAAAGATTTAAGACTAAACGACTGTGCCAAAAGCCTTCTCAGGGTTAATACCATGATTAGATTCATCATAGGATGAATTCTTTCATATCTTATTGTATATGAGTAGAGTAGACAACATAAATCCACAATATTTAAGTAAGTGTAAATGTACGTATATAAATGAATGAGTTGAGAAGAAACAAGGTTTTAAAGAATGAAATAAATCCTCTAAATATATGTATAAACTCTGCAGAGGCAACAGTGTTGCTTTACACATGGATTTTTTTTTCCACAAGGTGATACATATATATAACATAAAGAGCATACTTAGGTTCTAAAACTAAAGTGATTTAAAAATGACTGAAAAGAAGCTAATATGGAAAAAAAATAAATCAAGAGAAACTCTATAGACCTTTATTATACAAACACCTCCTAATTACAGATTCTGACAAACCAGAGGAAAACAATGCCTCTCTCTGCATTATACAAACTGCACAGTGACAGATTCTAATCAGGGACAGATTAGAAACCTCAATTACTTACTGGCTTCGTCACTCAACAATGGTATTTAAAAAAAAAAAAAAAGAATCCAAAGTACTATAATATAGAAAACTATGCATACAGAACTATACAGTCACTATCTGTGAAATAAAGACATAACCTAAGAAGGCCTAGAAGCAGAAAAATAAAAATCCAAGAAAACCTGAACCAAGCCAAATAGAATACCCCTAATCATCACTACATCTGGCCATTTCACATTCCAATGATTATAAATTCTTTTAAAGTTTCACACCATTTCCCCCCAATAATGAGTCAGCACCCAAACAAATCTAAATCAGGAAACACCCCGAGAGAACAATACTTACAAAATTTTTGAGATGCAAGCTGTAGTGACTGACCCCATAGCTTTCTGTCTTGGTTTTTGAGACTGTCATTGATGAAATGAACGGCAGGCACAGCTTTGTGCTGGGCACGTTTTAGCAGTTTTCCTGCCTTCATACGATCTAGCTCTTGTATGACCACCCAGGGAATTATTAATACAAGTCTGTCAAAGCCTGAAAAATAAAAAAGATTTCTTAGAAGTCAACAAATATTTATTGAGCTACTAATTGAACTGCTGTAGGAGCACTGGAAGTTTTAAAGTAAGGAATTCACAGTCTAAATGAAGAGATAATAATAAAAAATGGTAACTAAAAATAGATATAAATATGGGGCGCCTGGGTGGCATGGTGGGTTAAGCGTCTGACTATTGGTTTCGGCGCAGGTCCTGATCCCAGGGTCAGGAATCCAGCCCCATGTCCAGCTCTGAGGGCGGAGTCAGTTTAGGACTCTCTCTCCCCCTGCCCCTGCCCACTGTGCACACGCCTGCTCTCTCTCTCTCTCTCTCTCTCAAATAAATCTTTAAAAGAAAAACAAAAACAGATGTAAGTAAGTATCGAATGAATGTTACAAAAATAGATACTATAGGAGCTCAAAGAAGAGTAACTTTGGATTGTTAGTTAACCTATGAAGGCGCTTTTTTTTTTTTAACTTATGCTGATTATTAATATATATATTTTAAGACATATACTTTATAACATTTTAAACATAATGGAAATGTATTTGTGGGGGAAAAAACCACCCCACATCATCGTTAATATAAAATATCAACTCAAATAAGAAAATCAGAATCATGCTTTATAAATACCTGGAATTTCTGTTGTCTTCAAAATTCTAACAAAATTGAGGTGATTCATCAGAATATTTGTGTCAATAACAACTAGAAGCTTTTTATCTGAAGCAGTATTTGCTAGAGAAAAAGAGCAAAGTTAGGATTTCATGACACTTGATAACAGACTTGCATAATAACCGAAGTTTTGGTATCATAGAACTTTGAAGGTATTCTTAAAAGAAGGCAGTCCTTTAGACAGCCAAAACAAAACTATGTTTACTCTAATCCTTAAAAGAACAGTAATCAATGTTTAACTATCTATGAATGAAACATCCTGAATTGTCTGAGTGGATTTTAAATCATAAACTAATTTGCTCCACTAGTAACTATGTTTGCCAAACCTTGTTCTGCATCACTAGTAGTGGTACACTTAGGATTTATTAGCTAATTTTAATACACTGTGAGTGAAATATAATTGAAAAGATAAATATGTGTAAATGAAAGAAAACAGGTAAGATAGCATCATTATTTCATAGGGTCATTGTGAGGATCAAATAAGTTAACGCACAGGAAAACACTTAGTAAATTGAAAAGTGCAGTATGAATGGTAATGTAGCATTACATTTTTATAAATACAATTCAAAATTGTATGCTAACAGACTTTGGGTAATATCTATCACCTTCTCCAAGTAGGAAGAATGATCAAAACTTTACTAAATAAGTAAGAAATCCATGCATATAATACCTTTGAGCAACTGGCATTATTTCTTTTTTTTAAGTTTTTATTTAAATTCCAGTTAACATACAGTATGATATCAGTTTCAGATGTAGAATTTAGTGATTCATCACTTACATACAATAATACCTAGTGCTCCTCCCTACAAGGGCCCTCCTTAACCCATCACCCATTTAACCCATCCCTCTGCCCAGCTTCCCTCCAGTAAGTCTCAATTTGTTCTCTAACTATTTCTGATCAGGGCTTTACATAGTTGAAATTGTCAAAAATTATGATTAAGGGCAAGAATAAAAGACAGCTCTGATAGTTGATAGAATAAAAGATAACCCTGATTACTGACTCTTGGCAAAAAAAGAGAAAGAGAAAGTATGTCTAACTGCCTAATAATGTGAGATGTATAAAACAAATGATAAGACAAATATTAGACCTGACTCTAGTCACTAGAAGACATATACCATACCTTATTGTTTCAAATGAGCACATTTTAACATTTTTCATCTAAATATTATAAAAACTGAATGTTGGCTCATTAACTCCTGAGAAAGCATAGGAGATCAGAAACATCATCATCTACAGATAGGGTATACCAGCACAAGAATGTACATCATCTTCCACCAAGTCAATCTCCATGCTTGTTAACTCTTCGGAAGATAAAACCACAGGTAAATCCACACTTTTTCCCACACGTGCAGCATGGAGCTCTTCCACTATCTGCATCTAAATTATAAAAGACCCACAGTAAAATATTTTGGATTATCTACTTGCAGATTAGTTAGGATTAGAAAGCAATTAATTCTAATAAATTCACTTGAGATGGCTTGTGGGGAAAAAAGTCACAAAAATATGGAGGCAGAATGGTGAAAGAATACAGATTTATAAACATACACAGGTTTGTTTTGTTTTGTTTTAAAGATTTTATTTATTTGACAGAGAGAGACACAGTGAGAGAGGGAACACAAGCAGGGGGAGTGGGAGAGGGAGAAGCAGGCTTCCCGCAGAGCAGGGAGCCCAATGTGGGGCTCGATCCCAGGACCCTGGGATCATGACCTGAGCCGAAGGCAGACGCTTAACAACTGAGCCACCCAGGCGCCCCATACACACGGTTTTAAAAGTAGCTCTTCTCTTACTACCTCTGTAACCTTAGGCAAGGAAATTATTTAACTACCTTGGGTCTCCATCTGTTCATCCACAAAATAGGAATGTTAAATAACTACTGCCTATTAGTATTTTTGTGAGGATTAAATGAAATAATATGAAGTTCCCTGCACAGAGCCTAGTACATAGTAGACCTTCAAAATAAGTTCATTCTCATCCCAGTTTCACTTTAATGTACTTTGGAAGCCAACTATCTTTTCATCTCGATAATGAGCCTCTTCTTGAGATTTCTAAGATTGTTTATGAGCCATCGAAAACTGAAATCTAGATTTTAAGACCCTTCTCACTTCAGGGAAGTAGTTCCCTGATGTATTTTGATGTGAAGAATTGTATATCAAATCTAGATTTGGAGCAGGGATGAGAAATCTTTCTTCTATCAAGGAGCACTGACCCATAGGACAGAAAAATACAACTATCACAAATAAAAAGTGATCAATATGGTTTTAAAGTCTTCTTTAAATAGAAAACTACAAAGTGTTTCATGGATCTAATTTTAATTTAGGACCAAGAAACATAAAAGTCTATGCAATAATTCCAAGAGGGTCAATCAGGAGATTCTAGCTGGGAAATGAAGCAACAGGTTAAAAATAAATAAATATGCACGCACTCTCATTTTCACTGAATAACATTTTCATCTTATTGCTGATTAGAAAAATGAGGCCAACAGATTATTACCATACTGAATTTTGGTAAGCCTAGGCATAAGCATGCAAAAGTTATGATAACATTAAATCAGAATTCATGTAACTTGTAGGCTATAGACTCCATGCTCTTTATTCAAAACAGTTTAGAGCTTAGAAACAAAGACAAAAAGGTGATCAATTAAATGTAAATATCTTCCAAGCAGTTTTTCATAACTTTGTAAAACTTACATATTGATTTAAGTAGAGATATCACTGCTACTTTCATATTACCAAGGTTTATATAGTCATTATTTATTATTTATATAAGAACTGTTTGACTTAATTTCATTGAAATATTCAAAGTAAATAAGTATATCAGTAACCTCTTGATCTGTATCTTGAATAGTTGCAAGTGATGCTGAAGAACATGGAGCTTCAAAACTCTGAAATGAAAAGTAATTTTATTAGTTAAGAATGAAGCATATACTCCATTGTACATATGAACCACGTCGTCTTTATCTATTCATCTGTTGAAGGGCATCTTGGCTCCTTCCACAGTTTGGCTACTGCGGACATTGCTGCTATGAACATTGGGGTCCATGTGCCCCTTCTTTTCACTACATTTGTATCTTTGGGATAAATACCTAGTAGTGCAATTGCTGGGTTGTAGGGTAGCTCTATTTTTAACGTCTTCAGGATCATCCATACTGTTTTCCAGAGGGGCTGTACTCAGCCATCAGAAAGGATGAATACCCACCATTTGCATCAACATGGATGGAACTGGAGGAGATTATGCTAAGTGAAATGTAAGTCAAACAGAGAAAGACAATTATCATATGGTTTCACTTACATGTGGAACATAAGGAATAGCACGGAGGACCACAGGGGAAGGGAGGGAAAACTGAATGGGAAGAAATCAGAGAGAGACAAACCATGAGAGACTCTGGACTTCAGGGACCAAACTGAGGGTTACAGAAGGGAAGGGGGTGGGAGGATGGGGTAATCGGGTGATGGGTATTAAGGAGGGCACCTGTGGTGATGAGCACTGGGTGTTATACGCAACTAAATGAATCACTGAATGCATCAAAAACTAATGATGTACCATATGTTGGCTAATCGAACATTAAAAAAAAAAAACAGTATAAAACAAACAAAAAAACCTTGGGGAAAAAAAAGAATGAAGCATATACCTAGAGTAGGGTTTTCAACATTGGCACTACTGACATTTGGCATTGGATAATTCTCTGTTTTAGGGATATGATGTGCATTATGCTGTTTAACAGTATCCCTTGCCTCTACCCAGTAAATACCAGTAACACTACTCCCTCCCAAACTTGACAATCAAAAATGTCTCCATCAAGTCAAGAGCCAAATGCTCCCTCTCAGGTAAATTGCCCCTAGAAGAGAAACTGCCCCAGAATAGAAAAGCCTCATTCTATTAAGTCAATGAAACAAGGTGGAAAGTCTTTAAAGTTTACTCATTCATATATACATTCCTGAAAATATTCATGTTCTAAGAATAGAACTACATGCCACCCTGAGAAACAGAAAGAACCACGGCCAAGATAAACAAGCTGGCCTTCAATGGTGGGAAATTTTCACCCAGAAGTAGCTGACCCATTTCTAAAAGTGACATGACAAAAAAAAAGGGAACCTAAAGATTAGGAGATGGCTGAAGGGAAAAAGCTGAAAACTGCAATAGTTGTATTCTACATGGGTAGAGGGCCAGAGGTTTGTGTTTTAATTTTCTTTTTTAGCAGAGGTTGAAAATCTACTAATTCCAAGTTTTCACTGGCACTTTTGCTAAGCAGATGGGACTTAACCTGACCCTCTGTATGGGTAATAGGGAACTCAGCAAAAGCCACTACTAAACCATATCATCTTCTAAGAATTCTCCAACATAACACCAAACTCACACATATTTTACAGGCAGCTATATATGGTATAAATTACATCTTCTCTTTAAAAAAGTGTATTATACGTTGCTTTCCTGGGAATTCGGCTGCCATCCTAACTTCCCAACATCAGTCCTCGCATGGTATATATAACACCATATACACCACACACATAAGTTCATGATAGCTTTACTGTCCCCATGACCCTGGATTTTACAATCCCTTCTCCCTCTGACTTTAAATCTCACCAGATCCCTAAGGTCCTCTCCGACTAAGAAGTGCCAAACAAGTTAGAGATTATTATCAGAATTTCCTACGGGACTCCTGATATTCGAAGTCTTGTTGTTTGTTTACTTAGGTCATTACTACCCTTCACTGTCTTTGACCACAGGCCACTTCCAGGGACTTCAGTAAATTTTCTATCACTCCTCCAAACCAGGAAAGTTCATGTCAGTTGCTCCTGAAGACCTCTCCCTATTAAAAAAGAAAGTCTCAGTGGGCATTTATTTAACTGTTTGCCTCCTCCTACCATGCTTTAGTAAATAAATGAATTGGGATACAGCCCTCCCTGGGGATGGCAAATGGGAGTATCAATAATGAGAGTGACAATGGTTTTATCTACTGGAGTGATTCTGACCTGAAAACCAGATTACACTGCTTCCCTGATTATGTTTCAGTGGCTTTCCATACCATCTGCAGGATACAAGATAAAACAAAACAAAACCTTTCCCGTGGGATACAAAGTAATCCATCGTCTGAACCCTGGCTTCCTCTCCCACTTCCTCTCCTATACATAGATTTTCCTCACATCTCAACGCTAGTCATGCGGAACAACTTAAGTGCCCATGTACACTCTTGTCATGCAACCTCATGACTGTACCATTAGGATGCTGGCCCTCCCATATGCACCCCAATGTTCATAGCAGCAATGTCCGCAATAGCCAAACTGTGGAAAGAGCCGAGATGCCCTTCAACAGATGAATGGATAAAGAAGATGTGGTCCATATATACAATGGAATATCACTCAGCCATCAGAAAAGATGAATACCCAACTTTTACATCAACATGGATGGGACTGGAGGAGATTATGCTAAGTGAAATAAGTCAAGCAGAGAAAGTCAATTATCATATGGTTTCACTTATTTGTGGAACATAAGGGATAGCATGGAGGACATTAGGAGAAGGAAGGGAAAAATGGGGGGGCGGGAATTGGAGGGAGAGATGAACCATGAGAGACTATGGACCTGAGAAACAAACAGGGTTTTAGAGGAGAGGGGGGAGGGGGGGTTGGTTAGCCCGGTGATGGGTATTAAGGAGGGCACGTACTGCATGGAGCACTGGGTGTTATACGAAAACAACGGATCGTGGATCACTACATCAAAAACTAATGATGTGGGCGCCTGGGTGGCTCAGTTGGTTGGGCGACTGCCTTCGGCTCAGGTCATGATCCTGGAGTCCCTGGATCGAGTCCCACATCGGGCTCCCTGATCGGCAGGGAGCCTGCTTCTGCCTCTGACCCTCCCCCCTCTCATGTGCTCTCTCTCTCTCATTCTCTCTGTCTCAAATAAATAAATAAAATCTTTTAAAAAAAAAATTAAAAAAAAAAACTAATGATGTATTGTATGGTGACTAACATAATAAAATTAAAAAAAAAAAAAAAGGATGCTGGCCCTCTATCCTGGTAGGACTCTTTTATTCCTTGCTCTACACACCCTTCACTACCAAGCGCAAGAATCTCCACCTTGGTGAGCCTTTCCTGAACTCACCCCCAAATTTATACTAACACCAGCTCAATTCTTAGTGCTCTTTTATTTCACTAAATTGCAACTGTATTTGTCTACTAATCTGCCTCCCTGGGAACTTCCTAAGGGTAAAAATCATCTTATTCATCTCTAAATCCCTAGAACCTAGAAATGTACCTAATACATAACAAGTAGCTTTAATTAATGTTTGATAAACTGTTGAATTGTTACCTCATAGGTCTGTAAGGATTAAGTGGGATACTGTTTATAAAAGTGTCCTATAAACCATAAATCTTAGAACATTAGTTTGCTACTGTGAAGGGAGGGTGCAAACAAAGGGGTCTCTACAAAGGACTATAAAACTTAAGAAACAAAAGAAGCTATTTTCTCTTAGGAAAGCATAACAGGATTACTAAATAACAGGATTACCAAATCCAGAAAATAACAATTATTTCCTTATAAAGTACACTCATCATTTTAGGAAGATAATTATCTATTGAGGAACTTGTGAGGAAAACAACAAATGTAATATTAAGAAGATTACTGTCAATAATATGCTAGAGCGAATATATTCAAGATAAGAACAATACTTATTTGCTGCTCCTGTGTCTAAATGACTTTAAGTCCGATAAGACTGCTATCAAAGGAACAGCTGATAAAGAGTTTTAATTCCAATAACTGGAAAGTAATCATGCAAAAATTCCTTCTCCTACAACTTAATATTCATGCTATGTACCTCTTTTGATTTATGTGGTAATTCTATGTGGTAATTCTATTTAGAGACTAAAAGAAACTGTAAGGTAGGGGTGCCTGGGTGGCTCAGTTGGTTAGGCATCTGCCTTCCGTTCGGGTCATGATCTAGGGGTCCTGGGATCGAGCCCCGCATCGGGCTCCCTGCAGTGGGGAGCCTGCTTCTCCCTCTGCCTGCTGCTTCCCCTGCTTGTGCTCCCTCCGTCAAATAAGTAAATCCTAAAAAAAAAAAAAAAAAAAAAAAAAAGGAAAGAAAGAAACTGTACGGTATACTGCAGGGGACTGCTCACACTGTTCTTTAGATGCATAATACAGGGTAATGAACATCAAGCAATGACACAAAGATGTTCAATGAACATACTCCCAACTTCAAATTCTATTCTCACATTTTACACTAGAGAACTGCTTATAACTCAAAAAACTGGAGCTTTAAGAAAGCAATAAAAAGAACAAACTCAATTGTTTCCTTCTTTGGACTCCTTCAAGTTCACTGAATGAGAAGTACTCTCCAGCTCTTCCAGCCTCCCTAGTTACAATCCCTGTTTTTCCTAAGAGTATCTTACACTGCAATCTATAGTCTTCATTCCTAAAAGGAGGTAGGCTCAACCAGCCTAGTTTTTTTTTTAAGATTTTATTTATTTATTTTAGAGACAGAGCACGAGCGGCAGGGGAGGAGTGGAGGGAGAGAGACGGACTCCGCACTGAGCACAGAGTCCAACGCAGGGCTCAATCCCACGACCCTGAGATCATAACCTGAGCCGAAATCAGGAGTCAGCCGCTTAACCTACTGAGCCACCCAGGCGCCCCTCAACCAGCCCTGTTTAAAAGCAGGCTCTAAATTTCAGTCTGTCAGAAGTTCTGAAGTTCCAAAGGTTCGAAAGTTCTCTTAAAGGTAAATAATGTTATTTGCCACACAAACAAGGCTTTAGAGATGAGGTTCTCAAATTAGTCCACACATGCTGATTTATTACATAACTTAAAAGCAAAATAGATGTGCCAAGTTTTCCAACCTGGATCTCTGTATATGCAGTTCCCTTTGCCAGAACATCCTTGCTTCTCCCATCCCACCCCACCTGGCCTTCACTGAGTAACTCCTTTTCATTCTTTAGCTCTCAGGTTCAGTGTTACCCCCTCCAGTAAACCTTTCTTAAGGATTCCCTCTACAGTGTACCAAAGCCATTACTCCCGGCTCTGTATTCCTATGTTAAGTGATAGGTACTTATCAGACTTAAGGTGATCGACTGCTTGTGTGTCTCCTCACATGAAGAAGTCTCTGGAAGCAGAGACCGTGAACGCAGTGCCTGACATACTGTGGCACTCCAAAAATAATTGTCGAAGGAATAGCTATTCAGAATATTGACTCCTGGATGTTCTATAGTACCCAGGGTTACAGAAGAGCCTAAGAGATGGTCACAGTGCTTTTCTGAAAGGACTGTCTGTAACTGCTTCTTGCCACCTTTTCACACATCACCTTCTATTACGGATCCTTGATACTTGCCAGGATATCTTCCTAAGGAGGTTTGGAATTAAAGGGGTAAGATAAAGGAACTAACATAGCTTCCTGACTAAAATGAATCAGCTCTCTGTGATCTTACTCATAATAGAAACAACTCAAACCTATTAAAATTCTTTCCTAAAACCTACATTCTCATTTTGTACCACCTTACCTGGATTAAGTTTTCCCTGGAACTTGAATCACTTTCTTGATGCTCATGATGGTTTTTTCCTTTCCACTCATGAACAGCCTGCTTAGACGTGGAATCTGAAAATAAACGTTCACTTTTGTGCCTGGTCAAATTTAATGAAACTTGGGAGCCTTTGAGGCCTTCTTTTTTCTCCTGCTTAGACTTTGACTTGTTGGACTCTAAACTGAAGGTATTTTCTTCTACAAGCTTCTGGAGGGTATCATGGGATTTTACTGGGATTTTGAAACTGATCTTCCTTCTTCTAGATTCAAGGGGTTCCTTATTTATCTTGTTGGAATTATAATCCTGAGAAAAATGGATTCTCTTGAATTTCTCTGAAACACACTCTTCAGAACTGTCCCTAAATTTCTTGTGCCTTTCTTTCTTGAGTTCTTTCACCTTCTCCCGCTGAGCGAGTACATGAGGCCATTGTTTTTCACTGGCCTGGGCTTCAGTTTTAGGTTTTACATCTTTGGCCATCTTAGGACTGCTAAGGTTTCTAACTCCATGGTCAGGTTTACTCCTAACATTTGTCAATTTATTATCTTTAAAATCTACACATTTACTTAGGTCTTTTTTAGTTCCATGTGAAGAAGGACTCTGTGAAATAATTTGATTAGCGTTTGAATAGGATACTTCTTGGAGCTTAACAGGGCCTTGGGATGAAGAATTGATTTTTGGTCTCCTTCCTGGAAGGTCGGTTTCTACATTCAATCTGTAAAGCAGCACAGAAACCCAAGTTACATTGCAATTATTCATAATTATACATAATATTGCACTGTATTATTTCAGTTAGGAAATGACAGAAATGGTCTGATTCAGCTTCATAAAAAATAAGAAATGGCTACATTAAGAAAGAAGTGAAAGAATTACAAATGGTGTTGGCATAACTGGTCTATTCGGACAAAAACCAAATTTACAGCTTTATATAATACCACGCAACATAAATTCCATATAGATTAAATACTTAAGTGCAAAATAATTACCATAATTGCTATACTTCATATTAATCCCTTAAAAACCATAGGGGTAAAAAGGGAATATTTACCTGATTTCTTAATACAGAGCTTCCTAAACTTAAGAGTGGTGGGAAAAATCACAAAGGAAAATAATAAATGTAAATGACTATAGGGAAGCCTGGCTGGCTCAGTCAGAAGATCATGTGACTCTTGATCTTGGGGTCATGAGTTTGAGCCCTACGTTGGGTGTAGAGATAACTTAAATAAAATTTTAAAAATAAATAAATGACTATTTACTTTAAAACTTTAGCATATTAAAAAATAAAATTTTTAGAACTAGGAAATGGTATTTGTTATACATGTGTATATATATATCATGTTAGGTTACATATGTGTGTATATATATATTATAAGGTTTATTTGCCTTAGTAAATGAAAAGCTCATCAAAAAGGACTGACTCTAGAATAGGACGTAAACAGAAAATTGCTAATGAGAAAAGGGATTGGCTAATAGATATTTGGGGGAAAAAGTTTGAATTCCCTAATAATCACAGACATTCTAATTATAACAGCATACCATTTTCTTCTATCAAATTAGCAAAGATTTTAAAATAACATTAAATACTGGCATGGGGTTGAAAAATGGACCCTCTCATGGTAGAAATGCAAAATGATATGAGTTCCACAAAGGTGGGGCACCTGGGTGGCTCAGGTGGTGAAGTGTCTTGATTTCGGCTCAGGTCACTGATTCAGGGTGGTGAGATTGAGCCCTGCATCAGGCTCAGCATGGAGCCTGCTTAATTCTCTCTCCCTCCCCTTCTGCCCTTCCCCCCAATTCCCCAGCTTGTACGCACTCTCTCTTTCTCTAAAAAAAAAAAAAACAGAGTTCTACAAAGGAATTTGATAAGATAATTAAGAATTCTAAAAATGTTCATATTCTTTGACTTCCTAGTAATTCCCATTTTAGAAATCTATACCAAGGTGAAAAAAATTAAAAATGGACTAAAATCTTTTTTAAAATTTAGGATTATTTATAATAGCACAAAGTAAGGTAACAGGGTAAATTCTAAAATTTTGGAAATGACTAAGAAATATGCCATTCTACCATAATGATAGAATATCATGGTCATTTTAAATGATGTTTATGAAAGTTTTCAATGATCTAACAAAACATGTTGATATAATATTAAGCAAAAATCAAGCAGGGCACAAACCTATATATATAATGTGGTCTCAACAATTTAAATAAATACAGTAAAAAGTTTAGAAAGGAATATGCTAAAATGTTAGAAGTAGCAATAGCTAGAGGTGATATTTTCCTGCTTCATAAAAGTAGATATTACTTTGTAGTCAGAAAGAAAGGTGAAAAAATTTCAATGAAACACAATGCATTAATTTATATCAATAAATCCTTGAGTGCCTTCGAAGTGCCTGTCACTCTGCTAGGACCTGGAGAGGCCGTGGAGGACACATCCAATAGAGTTCTGACCCAATTAGCTTACAGTCTGGTGGGGGAGAAAGAGACACTAAACAGCTGATTTCTCAAATAATTACAGGAGCAAACTATAAACACCTCAGAGTTTTTATAGGGTTTCACCTGAGTCTTCATCGGATTTTATTTTCTTTCCATTATTATTTATGTTAGTAAATAATGATAAACCAAAACTTGAAATTTTAATAGGGCTTTGGCTTCTAATAGTATACCACGTTTAAGATGTCAACTGTATTAAAGAAAAACCAGGAGAACAACACATAAAACATAACTCAAAAATATTAATGGGACCCTGTAGTTCTCTGAGCATTTTCATATTCTTTTTTTTTTTTTTTTTAAGATTTTATTTATTTTTGTGAGAGAACGAACAAGTCGGGGGGGGGGGCAGAGGGAGAAGCAGACTCCCCACTGAGCAAGGAGCCCAATGTGGGACTCGATCCAGAACCCTGGGATCATGACCTGAACTGAAGGCAGACACTTAACTGACTGAGCCACTCAGGCACCCCTTCATATTCCTTTTTATTTGTTCTTCACAGCAACCCTGTGCTGCATGTTTTTTGTTTTTTGGGTTTTTTTTAAAGATTTTATTTATTTATTTGAGAGAGAGAGTGAGAGAGAGCATGAGAGGGGAGAGGGTCAGAGGGAGAAGCAGACTCCCCACTGAGTGGGGAGCCCGATGTGGGACTCGATCCCAGGACTCCAGGATCACGACCTGAGCTGAAGGCAGTTGCTTAACCGACTGAGCCACGCAGGCGCCCTGTGCTGCATGTTTTATAGCCATCTATGCGCCATGGTCTGTAGGGTTGTAATTAATTCAAACTCAATACAATACCTTTTAAAAGACCAACAAAATTAAATCTTAAAACCACCTCTTATCAGGGCGCCTGGGTGGCTCAGATGGTTGAGCGTCTGCCTTCGGCTCAGGTCATGATCCCAGGGTTCTGGGATCGAGTCCCACATCGGGCTCCCTGCTAGGCGGGGAGCCTGCTTCTCCCTCTGCCTCTCTCTCTCTCTCTCTCTGACTTTCATGAATAAATAAATAAAACATTTAAAAAAAAATTAAAAAAAAAAAAAACTACCTCTTATCAACTAGTCTTGCAAAATACTAGATTGTGATAAGGCAGTTTTATATTTGCAACCCAAAATACTAAAGTTCTAATATCTTTTTAGATATAAGTTAGACATGGAGCAAATACTTATTTTTTTTAAATACTTATCTTTTATGAATGACAGTATAAAATCAATATTCAGCTGAAGTTGAAACACCATCCTAGATGAACTCTTGTCATATAATAAGTGTGAAATTTTGTCAAAACTTTATTATTATACTTAGACTATGTAAAAATTTAGTAGCCATTTTAAAATATGATATACTTCAGAAACAATTTCTCAACACTATCAGCTGTTAGACTGCTCTGTTGGTCATCATAATGTTCACTCAGGATACTGAATTATATACTTACTTTCAACTTAGCTCAATTGAAGAATAAATTACTTTTTGGCTAATTCTGCCAATAATGGGTCTTGCTCATGGCAATTTTGCCATCTATCTAATAGTAACTGATGCAAAACCTCTCACCTCTTCAATTCCTGGGCTTAAAAAGATTTGGTCAACAGTGATGATGCAACTTAGTGAAGAAATACCACAAACTGAAAGTGCACTGCTCAGAGAAATGCTTTCTGAATATTTTCAAAAGCATACTTAAGATTGTTACCCTTAATTTAAGAAACAAAACAGATGAACATAGGGGAAGAAGGAAAAAGATGAAAACAGAGAGGGAGACAAACCAAAGAGACTCTTAACTATAGGAAACAAACTGAGGGTTGCTGGAGGGGAGGTAGGTGGGGGGATGGGATAACTGGGTGATGGGCATTGAGGAGGGCACATGATGTGATGAACACTGGGTGTTATATGCAACCGATGAATCACTGAACTCTACCTCTGAAACTAATAATATAAGTTAATTGATTTTAAATTAAAAAAAAAAAAGATTGTTGCCCTTGCTGATATTTTCATTGCTAATACATCTGTATGTACTCAAACCACGGATCGAGAATTGTGGTAATGGAATGATATAAGTGGCTTTCAGGATGACAAAATTCTGATTTTTCATCTGCACCTCAGCTTTCACTGCACACCAATTTTGGAACCATCCCTAGAGCTGAATAGGGAGATTTTTACAGAAGATGCCATATACCATAAAGAAATACTTATAACCTTGAGGCAAATAAGTTTGTTTACTTCTCCAATGAATAAACAACAGCAGCAAATGAATCACATTCTCTGCAGGCAACCAATGGTTGTTAGAAGTTCTGCACTGTTGATACTGATGTTTGCAAAGCACAGTAGGACAGCTTTCTTTTGTCCAAGCAACCTTTTCAGTATATAATAGCTCCTATCCCATATTGTTTAAACACATGACAAAGCAGTTTTAAAATATCTTGTATGCCATATAGTTTGTCTTTGACAAAAGAAAATTTCACTACAAGTTTTATCTAGAGAGCTTAGCAATAGCTGAAAGCAAATATTCAGATAGTAACAATAAATCCAAATGCCACGCCTTGTTCACATCACTGACGTCCTTACTCTCAGTAGATATGATGATAACCCACACAATGGCATGGTCATTGATCACACATGGGTTCAGGAATGCAAAAATGCTGCAGTAGGCATTTGACTATTCAGTGTTGCAAGAGATGAAGCCAAATAGCAGATTTGGAATAAATACTGAAGCCAAGGTGCACTTCATTGCATCCTTGGAATAGTTTAGATCCTATTCTCAAAACAATTCAACAATATTGTTGTTTCTTATTCCCAAAGACTATGTGGACAAGTCTAGGGGAGTAGTATACATAGATCAGAAGTCTATTCATTCCCTTATTCGTACATATAAAATCAAGGGCTAGAAAATGTGCCCTTAATAAGGCTAAAGGTAACTAGTGAAAAACCACACAGTGTTTTAGAACTTAAAAAAAAAAAATACTAGGATAAAAGGCATTAAAAATCCATTTTTAAAAAGTTTAGAAACTAATAGTCAATGTAATGTGAAATTTATAACAGAATATACTTCAACAGATAATAATATAGGAGCAAAGTATCACAAAGAAAGAGGAGGAGATGATTCAAAAACAAAAACAAAGAAAAACCAAAAGAAAAGCCAGAGGCAGGTTGAATTTTTTGTTTTTAGCAAACATTGACTAAGCTTGTCTGGGAAGCAGAACTTTTATGTATATATTTAATGCCATCTTTATCATTTCCTCATAACTCCTTATTTTTAGAGAAACTATGATCTCATCAACTTTTATCATACGTTACACTTTATATTTTTTTACCCCATTAGTGGCAAGAAATGCCTTCACCACAAAGTTCTCTGAAATTTTTATCCAAGAACACAGAAATTAAAGAAAAATAATCCCCACTATTCCTACCATTTTTCTCCAAGTTCTGTAGTTGTAGCCATATCCTATTTAAATAACACAGTTTTAAAACCGTAACAATTCAATAATCGACATATCCTCTTCACAGGTAATATATAATTTATCTTTATAACATTTTTAAGCCAGCCACATAACTTCTTCTATTATTATTTGTAACAGAGTTATGTATCTTATAAGGGTGTGTCAAAATCAAATCACCAGAGATAAAAATCTGCATTTACTTGAAAGTGTCATTTACATAGCACAGAATTGTGATAGACTTTTTATTTCACTCAACTTTTTATTAAATTTACACTAATATTAAGAAAATTCAATAATCAGGGGCACCTGGGTGACAGTCTGTTAAGTGTCTGCCTTTGATCAGGTCATGATCTCGGGGGTCCTGGGATCGCACCCTGAGTCGAGTTGGGCTCCCTGCTCAGCGAGGAGTCTACATCTCCCTCTGCTGCTCCCCCCCCCCCACCACTGTTTGTGCTCTCTTGCTGTCTCTCTCTCTCAAATAAATAAAATCTTCAAAAAAAATTCAGTAATCATAACCTGTGCTACAGCTAGAAATATTGGCATGATATCAGTACTAATCAAAGTAAACAAAAAATTTTGCAAATCAAAATATTTAGTCTCACAATTCTAAGCCCCCCAAAGTAAAAGATATCAACAAAAAGGAGGAATTTACCTTTTCAGTTCTTGTCTTCTTTTTACATCACAGTATAGAATGTCTGTGTGATCTGATTTCTGAAAGAAAAAAAAAATGTATCATTTAGGAAAGAGAAATTGTGCACTGACATATAGTTAACAGGAGAAAGAGACTGGGAGACAATATATTTTTCCACATCTATGTGTTACTGAATAGACTGACACATTTATTTATTTAATCTTTTTAATAATCCTGAGACAGGTATTATCATCATCCCCATTTTATAGATAAAGTACTCAAGGCTCAAACAGAGAAAAGTATCTTCCTCAATGTTACACAGCAAGTCAGCAGCAGAGCCAGGATTGAAACAAGCTCTGTCTACTATCTCTACTCTCCCAGTCTGTCTCTCCATGTGCTCTAAGGATACAGGCGTAGGCACAAAAGAAGTAAGAGAGAAATAGGATATAGTTAGTCCCTGTCCTAAAGATTTAAAGAATAGAGAGAAGACGAATATGTACGAATAATCTAATGAAAGGACATACCTAAGTGTCAAAGCAGTAACAATAAGTTGTAAAAGAGTTCAAAACACCAAGCACCAAAGTTGGAACATACTTAGGAAAAAAGATGGACAAAATATATGCTAAAGATTGAATACAGATTAACGAGTAAAAGAAAAAGGTTTTCTCAGCTAAGAAAGCTCAGGCATTCTAAGAAACTGGAGATGACTGGTGTAAATTCAGCAGAGAGAAAATAAACCAGTCTAGTTAGAAGCAGAAGGGCTGTTTTCAGGAAGAAAAAAGAAAACTGGCTAGTTAAGGTGTGACCAAATTTAAGAGGGTCTGGAATGACAGATTAAAAAGTGATTTTTCAACAGACGAGAAATATATTGAAACCTGTGTTTTAAGAAGGTTAATATAGAAACAATAAATTGAAACAGCAGTGTCATTATACAAATACAAAAACAAACAAATCCTTAAAAAACCAAATTCTGCATTCACACAACTTTCACAGCTACTTTCTCTTATTACCCCCGACCATGTAGCTATCCCGACATACACCTAACTTCAACTTGAATGTCGTGAGTACTTCACCAACCACCCTAGCTTGCACTAGCTTAATGTCTTTTTAATTATTTGCATGACTCTGGACTTGGTTCTGTTGCTATTAACAATCTGGTGTCCTTGGACAAGTCACTTAACCTCCTAGACCTCAATTTCTGAATCTGAAAGCACAAACACTACATATCTGCCTTGGCTACCTGCAAAAGATATTATAAAGCCAAATATAACCATATATGGGAAAAGACTTAAAAACTCTCTTAATATTTGCAAATGCCATAACAGATAAAGGGCTAATATCCAAGATGTATAAAGAACTTATCAAACTCAACACCCAAAAAACAAATAATCCAGTCAAGATATGGGCAGAAGACATGAACAGACATTTCTCCAAAGAAGACATATAAATGACCAACAGACACCTGAAAAAATGCTCAACATCACTTGGCATCAAGGAAACAACAAATCAAAGAAAGAAAAAAAAATGTATCATTTAGGAAATAGAGATTGTGCACTGACATTGTGCAATGAGATATAGTATCTCATTGGTATCTCATTGCACTGAAAATTGTGCAATGAGATACCACCTCACATCAGTCAGAATGGCTAAAATTAACAAGTCAGGAAACAACAAATGTTGGCGAGGATGTGGAGAAAAGGAAACCCTGTTGGTGGGAATGCAAGCTGGTGCAGCCACTCTGGAAAACATTATAGAGGTTCCTCAAGAAGTTGAAAACAGAGCTACCCTACCACCCAGCAATTGCACTACTAGGTATCTACCTCAAAGATACAAATGGAGTGACCCAAAGGGGCACCTGCACCCAATGTTCATAGCAGCAATGTCCACAATAGCCAAACTGTGGAGGGAGCCCAGATATCCATCGACAGATGAATGGATAAAGAAGATGTGGTGTGTATACACACACACACACACACACACACACACACACACACGGAATATTACTCAGCCATCAAAAAGGATGAATATTTACCATTTACATCGACGTAGATGGAACTGAAGGGTATTATGCTGAGTGAAATAAGTCAATCAAAGAAAGACAATTACCATACGGTTTCACTCATACGTGCAATATAAGAAATAGTGCAGAGGATCATAGGGGAAGGGAAGGAAAACTGAATTGGAAGAAATCAGAGAGGGAGACAAACCATGAGAAACTCTTAACTATAGGAAACAAACTGAGGGTTGCTGGAGGGCAGGTGGAATGGGGGATGGGGTAATTGGGTGATGGGCATTATGGAGGGCACGTGATGTGATGAGCATTGGGTGTTATATGCAACTAATGAATTACTGAACTCTATATCTTAAATTAATGATGTACTATATGTTGGCTAACTGAATTAAAAAAAACCTCTCTTAATTTATATCCATGTTGTCTAACCCCACATGATAGGGTCTACCAGCACAAAGAAATAACTTGATAAATGCTTTTTGGTGAGTAGAAGGAAGGAAGAAATCAAACACTGGTTTTCTTTCTGTTGGCTATCACAAAGTATAAAAGAAAGAGGGGTGCCGGGGTGGCTCAGTCATTAAGTGTCTGCCTTCGGCTCGGGTCATGGTCCCAGGGTCCTGGGATTGAGCCCTGCATTGGGCTCCCTGCTCGGCAGGAAGCCTGCTTTTCCCTCTCCCACTCCCCCTGCTTATGTTCCCTCTCTCGCTGTATCTCTCTCTGTCAAATAAATTAATTAAATCTTTTTTAAAAAAAAAGAAAAGATGAGTAGAAAAGTAATGGGGGAATTTATATCATAAACCTTCTAATTACACATTAAAACTTTAATATAAATAATACCTAGAGTTAGTTACAGTATACACTCACCAGTCGTCTCTTCTCTGATGAAACAGACCTTACACAGCAAGCTGAACTAGTAGAACTTGAAGTTTTTTTCTCTGTCCTATCCTAAGAATGGCATTTGGAAAAAAGGAAAGAAAAGCACAAAATAAAGCACAATATAAGACAGTGTTATTTAATCACTGTTATCATAAACTAACATTCTACATTCATAATAAACTTCAAGGGTGGGGGGAAATGTTTAAAGGCACACAAACTTTGGTAAGAGGGAGGGAAACTCAACTAGAAGGAAGACTCAAGTAGAAATCAGAAGATCTAGGCGCTCCTGAATTAGAGATGAGATAGGACACAGGTGCTACAGCAGGTCAGCTGACAGCTCAGATAAAGGCGTTGGGAGGAGGCATCGCCTTGGTGGAACTCAGTCTTCTACAAAGCAAAACCATATATCCAGTCATTTCCCAGGGGATCCAAAGTTCAGTAGACCCAGGACAAACATATATTTGAGGACTTACCGTGTATCAAAGACATTCTAGACGGTGGGGACAGATTAATGAAAACACAAAAGTCCCTGCCCTCATGGAGGTCAAAATATCGGGCAGGAATTTTACAAATAAACAAGTAATATATTTAGTGAGTCAAACAATGTGCTGGAAAAAAATAAAGCAGAGAAAGAGGGCAGGAAGGGCTTGGAGGTGGGCATGGAGGCAGCTGCAATTTTAAACAGGGTAGTCAGGAAAGGCCCCACTGATAAGCTGACATCTGCCTGGAGACCTGAAGAAGTGAAGAAGAAGCCATGTGAATATCTAGGGAAAGAGTTTTCCATTCAAGGGCAAAGCCCCTGAGGCAGGAATGTGCCAGGATTTATTGGTGGAATAGTAGCAAGGAATCACAAAACGGAGAAAGCAATGGGAGAATGAGAAGGCCAGATGGGGAGGGCCAGTTGTTTTCTTGGCCCCAGCTAGGACTTCAGCTGTTACTCTGGGTGAAGTGGGAAACTACCAGAAAGTACTGAGCAGAGGAGTGACATGATCTGACTTACATTTTAATAGGATCATTCTGGGGGCATTGTTCTCTGGAAGAGAACAATGAGAGGCAAAGGTGGAAGCAGGGAGATAAATTTGGAAACTACTGGAACAATCTGGGGAAGCAAGCTGATTGTCTGGATCGTTGTGATAGCAGAGGAGGTAGTCGGACTCTATATTATCAAGAGAAAGCTGATAGAATTTGCTGATAGACTGGATGCAGGTAGGGGATGACAACCAAGATTTTGGCCCAACCAAATGAAAGAATGGAATTGCAATTTCTAAATAGGGTAAATGAAGCCGGGCACTTGAAAGGTTATAGTTTAGGAAGATGAAGAGGAATCAGCAAAGGACATTTCGAAGCAGTCACCAATGTAAAGGAAAATCAGGAGAATATGGTGTCTCAAAAGCTAAGTGAAGAAAATGTTTCAAGGAGAAGGTGCAATTGGCTATGTCAAATACTGCTGATGGGTCAAGTCAGAGGAAGTCTGAAAATTGATCGATGGATTTAGCAACATGGAAACCACTGCTGGCCTTGATGAAAGCATATTTGGAGGAGTGATGGCCTGAAAAAGTCTGATTCAAGTAGGTTAGGAGAGTCGGAGGCGAACTGCAAACAGCATGCCAATTATTAGTGCCAAATTGGGGAATATATAAATCAAAGACACCATGGTACTGCATGGCCATACTCCAGGGTCCCCTTTCCAATTATCTCTATACTTGGGAGGCCAAATTAGTAATCGGAAAGTTAGTAAGCAAAGAACAAACACCAAAAAGTGTAATGATCCCTAGAATACTTTATCCAGGTCGTCTAAAGGCCTTATGAACTCATCTGCTAGCACAGAAATCACTTCCACAGGGAATATTCACCTTTGCTAGACTTTAGTCTCTCATTGTGGATGGTATTACAGCATGAACCCTAATTCTGAGGATGCACTATGCAGACTATTCAGAGAGTTTATAATAAAACTAAATGCAGGGGATGGGCCGCCTGGGTGGCTCAGTCGGTTAAGCATCTGCCTTAGGCTCAAGTCATAATCCCAGGGTCCTGAGATGGAGCCCCACATCAGGCTTCCTGCTCAGTGGGAGGCCTGCTTCTCCCTCTCCCACTCCCCCTGCTTGTGTTCCCTCTCTCACTGTGTCTCTCTCTGTCAAATAAATAAAAATTTTTTTTAAATATTAAAAAAAATAATTGCAGGGGGTTTTTTTGTTTGTTTTATTACATCAGTCACATTGCACTCTTGCGTCCTGGAGACAACACTCAGCTCAATTAATTGAATATCCTAAATTTCATCTAGTAAAATACTTCTTAAGGCAGTGTGAGCATGCATTCCCTACCCTTAGCCTCCCCTGCACAGGATAGCCCATTCTGACTGATGAGCATATAATCTTAGTCAATGCTGAGTAAATGACAAAGGCGATGTGCAAAAGGTCTACTGGTGAGTTATTTCCATGTAAAGGAGAATCTGGGGGACCTAGAGTCAAGTCAGGAATGCCTAGGCAAATTACTTACATAAGCCTCAGTTCTGGCATTTGTATAATTGGGATAATAATGGTACCTACCTCATACAGTTGTGAGCAATCAATAAAATAATGCGAGTAAAGAATGGGGGTGGAGAATGGGAAAAACAAATTACCTCTCCTGGGTCAGAAGGGCAAAACAAAACATTTACATATCTCATTTACATATCTCATACACATCTACATAAAACTGAGGTTTTTTTTTTCATTACATAAAAATGAACTGCAAAAAAAGGTATCTTTGGGTCAGTAAATCAAAATTCTTACTTCTACGTCAAAGTTGGGTGATGCAGTGGTGCCTTTTCTCTGAGACTTCTCTTTTTCGCCACAAGATTCTCTGTTGGACATTTTGAAAAGCTAAAATAAAAACACATTAGGTGTTTTGTTTTAACCACCATCACAACAAAATACATTAGAAATTAACCTTTCAGTTATAAAACTGAAAACTTTATAAAAAGACTGGAGTTTTACAAAATGATTTCCATCTTACAACCATTCCCAAGACAACAGGATTCTCTCATTGTTCCACTTTATTTCACTTACAGTCTCCGTCATAATGATCTCTTCCTCTCCTTCAATTTCATCTACCACCTTTTTAGGAATGACCTCTCAAAACTTTGCCTTTAGCCCTGACCTTCTCTCTCCAGCTTCAGATCACCATTGAAAACTGCCTATAGGACTGCTGTATTTTGCCCAACCTATGCCTCAAAATTCTAAGTCTTTATTTTCCTGACACACCCTCCATTCAACTTAGTGTGTAACAGAAGAATCCTGTGCTGGAATCGAAAAGGCCAGAGAATGGGAACCTCATCAGGTCTGCTGGGACGGGAAGATATAAAAGGAGTCTAGCAGCAAAGCCCAAAGGAGAATTTATTGCTGATAGTGACACATATGGAAACTATGAATGTAAGAAAGGCTAGAAAACAGGCAATTGCAAGTACTCATGGTCAATCATGACCACAGTAAGTTAAGTCCTATGAAAGAATGATCAAATCAAACTTTTAGAATGGTTCGATGAATATAAAGAGAAAGAAAATGCTGACAGCTAAGAGAAAATCTAATAATAAAAATTAATTAAAGAATATTTAATATAGGCTTCTAAGAACAATCCTAATTTACCCCAAAATTTTGCTTTGTAAGATAATGTATGGCAACAACTGAATTCACAGCTGAGCTTCCAGATTAGCGGAATAATCTTCTTTTCCCCTTCTTCTTCGAAGGATTCTATTCCATGTTGGGGAAAGGTACAATAAAAAATAATAATAAATTGCATGAAATGAACTGTTTAGAGGCAATGTACTACTTATGTTAACTTCTACAATTTAAACTGATCCACGTTCATCTTATGTTGTTGCTCTGAATACCAAATAAGGCTAAATTTCAACCTCTCACCCATAAGCCAATTGAAAAAAAAAAATCACTGCAGATAGTGGACTATCAGGAAAAACACATATACATTTACCATGACAAATGTTTTATAATAGTGTGAAATTCGTGTTGATTTCATGAAAATCAAAATATCAACTCAAAGGGGAGACTTCCTGAGTTGGCCAGCCTCCAAAGTGGCTCCTGATGATCTCTGCTGCCTGGTAATTACACTCTCAGGCGAGTCCTCTCATACTAAATAGCGCTGGCCTGTGACACCAATAGGAACTGCCATATGGCAGTATGTGGCTGGGTCATATAAGACACTGTGGCTTGTGTTTTTCTCTCACTCTAGGGAAAGCCAGCCACCATATCATGAGGACAATCAAGTAGCCCATGGAGCTGCCCACCAGCGAACTGAAGCCCACTGCTAAAAAAGAACCAACTGCCAGGCATGTGAGCGGGTCAGCTTTGAAGCTAATCCTGTAGCCCTAATCAAGCCTTTGAGGGGAAGCATCCCTGGCTGATATCTTCACTGCAACCTCCTGAGACTCAGAACCAGGTCCACCCAGAAAGCCACTTCTGAATTCCTGAGGCACAGAAACTGTGAAGTAATGTTTATTGTTGTTTTAAACCACTAAGTTTTAGGATAACTTAGGCAGCAACAGATGAATAATACAGCCACTTAATATAATCTTCAAACTTTGAAGATTCCTTTTTTTAGAATGTCTCAAGACACAGACCATGCTTAGAAACCCTTACTAAAATTCCCATAGAATCCACACGCTAAAATCTAACCATTTTCATCTTCCGGTTTCCAGCTGGTGTTAAATAATGAGACTGATACAGTGAATCAAGCTTTCAATTAACCATCTAGCCTTTTGGAAATAGAAAAAAAATCAATGATGCTTTGATGATGCAGAAATATTATTAGCCACTACTCATTCCCGTAAATTATAACGTGTTATTTTCCCATTTTTAATTGACTGTTAAGAGCAGTGAGGCAGTTATACTTTCAGGAAAACTAGTTAAAGTTGGCGTGGGTTGAGCATGGCACTCTTAGTTTCTGCTGGGGTCCTAATCTCGGGCAGGTGAGATCAGCCCGGCCTCCAACTCAGCGCTTGTCCAGGAGAGTCGGCTTGGGATTCTCTCTCTCTCCTTCTCCCTCTGCCCCACTCCCCCCACTCGCGTGCTCTCTATGTCTTAAAATAAATAAATCTTTTCTTTTTTTAAAGTTGAGGTTGAAGGCATTATGAGGACTTTAGAACTATAACTCACTAGGGAAGGAGGGGGGAAAAGCCTACATGTACACTTCCTAACTACTGGGGGGTTGGGAGGGCTGGGAGGTGGTAACTAATTCTGTTACACTTTCAAAGTGCCAAATAATCACACTTGCTCTCACCTGGGCTCCGAAACAAGCAGGAAATAAATAGACCAATGATATAGGTAGGCATTAAGTATCAGCTTTATGAACCAGGAAAAACCCAGCTGGAAGTGTGAGTCTCCTAAGACTAAAAGGGGCTTCCCTCTCCTTCCCTGCTGCCTATAACATTCGGACCAGTCCCGGGAAGAAAGAGCGGCCAGAAAACTCAAGTTTTCCTGTCTGCGCCAGGGGCATGAATGCGTGAGACTGAAGTTCAAGCAGGCCGGAGAGTAAAGGGAAGAGAAGTACGCGGGCCAGAGGACTCACTGGCAGATGCCGTGTGGAATCTGAATCGCATCAACCAAGTGCCGCAAAGCTCAACACACTCAGAGCTCTGGTTATTAAGTCTAACTATAAGCGTAGGGCGCGCGCACAAACACACCCTCTTCTCTACCCACAGAACTCCTACAACCACAGGGCAGTGCTGATGATAACAGGAATATGTAGGTTAAAGCAAAATAAAGACAAAAGGAGACGTGTTCAGGTCACGGTGTGGATGAGGGTGCGAAAGGAAGCGCAGAGCCCGATTCCAAATCAACCAGACTAGCAGAGAAGCTCCTTAACTGCTCGGAAGCCGCCGCGGCCCAGGGGCTACGCAGAAAGAAACCAGACCCTCGCTCTGAGCGAGGGGCAACTCCAGAGGCAGAGCCGACCAGAACCACACCCTTCACTGAGCGGACTCAACCCCGGATCCGCCTACAGAGTCGCCCCGCCCAGGCTTGAGGGGCCTCCGGAATCCTCTGACCGGCTGGCCACCCGCTAGGGTACCGGAGGGAGAGAGATGGGAACCTGCCCAGCAAAACGTCAACCAGCACCCCAGTTACCTTACCAGTGCCGCAGCGGTGGCGACACCGGAGGCCCAGACCAAGAAAAAGGGTCCCCCCTGGACCCGATGCTCGCTGGGAAATGTAGTCCTGCACTCGGACCCAGACTACTACTCCAACGCTCCGAGTGTTTGTTTAGCTTTGCATTTACTTCCTCCAAGGACTTGGAACTCCGGCTCCGCCCCAGCTGGCGCGCTGCACCCTGGGTATTGTAGTCTTGATTCGCTTCCTTGGTTGACGGCTGGAACGGAGACGCACCGTGGAAGCGGAACTCTCTTACCTCATTGGACGCCGTCCCCATTACGTTGCTGCGCAGGCTGTGGCGCCGTCGTCACGCCTCAGGGAAAGGGAAGCGGACGGGACTGCGAATCGCTGCCTCTGGCTTTTTATTTTTCTGCTGACAGGATTTGGTCACTGGTTCTTCATCTTTTGTCTGTTGCACGCATCCAGCCCTTCCCATTTGCTTTCCCACTCCTTGGATCCAGCCCTCTGGGCATTCACGCCAGTTCTCTCACCCCGCCGTGAGCCCCTCCTGGTCCCCGGGCGGGCCTGGCACGGAGGCGGTAACTATGGAGAATATGGCGGAGGAGGAGCTGCTAACCCAGGAGAAGGAGGAGGTGGAGGTGGCCCAGGTCCAGGTCCCGACCCCGACCCCGGCCCCGGACTCGGCTCGGGTCCCAGCTCCGGCCCCGGATTCGGCCCCGGATTCGGCCCCGGCCCCGGACTCGGCTCCGACTCCGGCCTCGGCTCCAGCCCCAGCCCCTGCCCTGGCCCAGGCTCCGGCCCTGTCCCCGTCCCTAGCCTCTGCCCCTGACGAGGCTGAAAGCAGTAAGTGCAGGAGGCCTAGATCTTTCTGCCGCAAAGAAGCGAGAAAGTGCGCCTTGCTGGGGAGTAGGGGAGGCCCTTCTTCACTGGGATGGTTTAATGGGGAAAGGCAGGTTTAGGAATGTGGAGGGGGAGGAAGGAGGGACCCATATAGTGGGTAAAGCGGGTACAGAATGGGAGAAGGCACAAACCTCGACATCATGGTGAAGGATTTGTGGAGGCCAGGAGTGCTGCAGATAAAAGGAAATAATGAGGTTGAGGGCTTCTTCGTTAAAGGGGGTCTTTTTCTGCTACGAAGATAGAAGTTACATTAATTTGGTAGTTTCCCTCTCAACCCCGTCTACCATGGTTCACTAAGTCCTTCAAAATGTGAGATGGTAACCAAGGCAGCCTGTTTACTGTAGTAGATCCTAGCTGCCAAGATTTAGAAACCATTACTATCAACTAGTTTTTATGCTCGATATACACAAATAGATGGGTTTTTCTTATTATTTAATTTTCTTTAGCAGCTTGCTTCCAAAAAGAATTTGAGGCTGATAAGTAGTTTAAGAAAAGGTCCACTAAATTATGGATGTCTTCCCTCAGTCATAAATACCAATTGAGTTTTGCACTCCGTTCCATCAGAAGTGGACTGTTGAAAATTAATAGCCCGTGTTATTGTGCTAATGTATGTGCTTGCATGTTTTCTAAGTGGTGATTTATTGGACCGTAAAGAGAAACACTTAAAAATCTTCTGAACACTTTTAAGTGTAAAGTCTAAGAAAGTTTTTTTTAAAAAATTACTTTGTGGTCCATAAATTGACCCTTATGCTCTTTCTAAATTATAACAAAGTAAATTAATTCATTTTCTTTCCTACTTCTAGGACAGTTGCGAATTTAATATTTATACAACACTTGGGTAGTTGTAGTCTAATAGAGTTACTTTGAAGTTTTAAAGCCACATAAAAATTGTTATAGTAGATTAAAGAGTAGAGCTGACTGGATCTCAGTTTCCTCATCTGTAAATTATGGGGAAATTAATTAAATGATTTAAGTCCTTTTCAAAAAAAAAAAAATGTAGAGCTGATCACAGAAAAGACAAAGAGGCCGTGCCTTAGGTATGCCTCTCCTCATATAAGATCAGAGCTAGTAGTTGCAAAATAAGGACAATCCTTTCTTCACCCACAACTTGGGGGGGGGGAGGGGGAGGCGGTGGTACACTCTCCTGAGTAAGTAGCCTCCCTTCCTCATCTCTAGATTGAATTTGTTTATATTAATCAGAATTGGTTCAGCAACTTTAGGGAATGTGTGCTTTCTCCACCTCCCCACCAGCAAGAATGTTAAACATAGTTTGGGAGGATACATATTCCACAATTTAAAGTATGTAATTTGAAGAATGTATGATGTTTGAGAAACCTGAAAAATGCATTATTGGGGCAAATATGTAATGATTGAGAAATCCAAAATGCATTAGAAATATGTATTAATCACATTTTTAAAAATTATTTTTATGTGGTCTAGTTAGTCCTTTGAAATCAGTCTTAACTAGGCAAGATGAAGATGGCATATCTGAAATAGAACTGAAAAATGAGGAAAAAGTATCAGAAGTTGTAAAAGAACCTCCTAGCATCTTGGATTCATCTGATTTAACAAGAGGTTTGCCTATTGACTTTGGGATTATTAGCATGTTACAAAAAGTTTGAGTGATAAAAGTACAGATTGTCTGATATCTACTGTCTTGAAACAGAAGGTGATTTGAGAGGTGTACATACATAGGCATATCATGAATCTTTAGACAGATCTTTGAGAGTTTTAATAGTGGACCACAGGATTTTCATTGTTCTCTTCTAACTTACCAGGGCCGTCTCTTATTTTGTACAACTTAGAATGATCTCAGTAAGCACAGGCTTATATAGTACTATATAATTTCACATAAACAGAACTTTGAACTTTGGAAGCCAAAAGCCTTTATGATTGCAAATTCGCAGGATTGATTTGTACATATGGATTTGTTGCCTGAATCTTGCGGTCTCACCTAGCAATTAAGTTTTTCTTCATAAGGGAAAAGTTTTGCCTATTATAGAAATTACATCTTATTATAAAGTCATTTGAACAATACCTGGTATGACAAACGATAAGAGTTGTTGCTCTTTGTTTTTCTCATTTAAAAATGAGGTAAAAATTTGTCTTTCAATAAATTTCAGCAGTAATGTCTGGTAGTGCTGAATTCCAAAATTATTGACTCTGTGTGCTACTGCATCCAAAAAGACCAATGATTTTTTAAAATTATTTAACAAGCCATAGTGCCTGCTGTGTGCAAGATACTGTACTAGGCATTTAACCATTACAAAAATGAGGAAGTCATATCCCCTGCCGCTTACTGTTTATTTGTGGACATAAATTATATAGAAGGGTGAAAAAAAGGAACTGGGAGTGAACCTTGGAAAGGAATAGGCAGGAAGGTAGCAATACCAAGAACAGAATTTAAAAGGTTTTTAAGGTTCTAAACTGTATAACCTAATTGAATAATGAGTACTAGAGAGCCTTATGGTTTACCATCATCTCCTCTCTGGTTGGGGATCTTTTCCTGCCAATTTTCAGCTCCTAGTCTTCTTGTATTTGTATATTCAAGCTCCTACTTTGTAAACATTACTTTCCTTTGGGTTATGGATATTCAGGTCTCTCCTTAAAAGGAAAGAAAAAGCACCACCTATCTCCTTTTTTATACTGCCACACTTTTTGAAATAATCTATGTGATTTTCTACACTTTATTTCTTCTTCCAATCCCATTTGTATTCTGGCACACCTCACTGAACCTTTTTTCTTTTTTTTTGTTTTTTTTAAAGATTTTATTTTTTTATTTGACAGAGAGACACAGCGAGAGAGGGAACACAAGCAGGGGGAGTGGGAGAGGGAGAAGCAGGCTTCCTGCTGAGCAGGGAGCCTGATGTGGGGCTCTATCCCAGGACCCTGGGATCGTGACCTGAGCCTAAGGCAGACGCTTAACCGACTGAGCCACCCAGGCACCCCTGAACCTTTTTTCTTAAAGGTCACCAGAGACCTGCTGAATACTAAATCCAGTAGTTTTCTGTTGATTTGTACAACTATTTGCGATACTTAGTGTTGAACAGTTATCTTTTACATTCTCTTTTTTCTTGGCTTCTGCCTTATCTTGATTCTCCTTGCCATTTATTGTTTTTGAATCTACCCTCCTGATTATTTTTCCTCAGTGTCTCTTATGTTACCTATATCCCTCCATATGTCACTTCTGAATTGTAACCATTTATATTAATCAGTAGTGGGTTCAGTGGCATTAGGGAATGCATCCCCCATGCCCATAATCAAGAATATGTTAAATATACTTTGGAAAGATTTATTCATATATTCTAAAGTTTACAAATATGTCAGAACGTGTAATGTTTGAGAGAGCTAAAAATATGTTACTGGGACTGGATTTTGGCCTTCTCTTTTTTTCACAATGTTTTTTTCCTTAGGCTTTCTTCAACTCCTAGTTTCACCTACCGTGTATTTATGATTTATATCCCTCCTGACTCCAAAAACAACTCAACTGCATACTGAACTTGAGGATGAGTTGAGTAGTACATCAAACACACTATGTCAAAAACTAAATTCCTTTTTCTCTTTTCCTCTTCTTTTATGCCAAAAATGTTTTCCTCTTCCTTTATTGGTTAATGGTACCATTATTCTTAACCATATAAACTTGAAATCTTAGAGTCATTCTTGAATGCACTCTTCATTCATGGTTATTTCTCACACCCAAAGTTTTTTGTTGTTTTTTTTTTTTACCATCTGTTCTATACCTTTCTATTACTAAATTCTCACCTCAGTTATTGATTTTTGGTTCTACAGCCAGACATAACCTGAAACGCATTCAGATCCTACCATTCACTACCTCAAAAACCTGCAAAGACTTCACATTGCCGGAAGAGGACAGTCCAGACTAACTTACATAGAATTTAAGCCTTTCATGATCTGTACATTTTTGGCTGTTTGTTCTTCTGCCACCTCCATTCTCCAGACATAGTACATTCTAACCAGGGGTGGGATAGAGGTGGCTGTATTTTTTTTACACCTTATGCTTTTCATGAGATTACTTCAGTTTATAAGGCCAGCCACCAAGTCTCTGCTTATTGAAATTCTATTCATAGTCACAGTCAAATGCCACTTCTTCAGTGAAGACATTCTCAAAGACACTTGTTGAAATTAATTCCTCCTTCCTCTGTATGCCCACATCATATTACTTTACCCCTGGTATTCATTTCATCCTGCATTGTATTACAGTTAGTAGATAACATAACAATATCTCTCCTGCCTGTTGAAAGTTTTTTTTTTTCAAGATTTTATTTATTTATTTGACAGAGACGAAGCGAGAGAAGGAACACAAGCAGGGGGAGTGGGAGAGGGAGAAGCAGGCTTCCCGCTGAGCAGGGAGCCCGATGCAGGGCTCGATCCCAGGACCCTGGGATCATGACCTGAGCCGAAGGCAGACACTTAACGACAGCCACTCAGGTGCCCCTCTTGAAAGTTCTTTAAAGATAGGAAGTGTGGCTTATGTTTCTTACCTCAGCATTTTCTACAGAGTAAAAACATTTTTTTGTAGAATTATATTGAATAATTAGATAAAACTTTAAAGGTGTGAAGTTACACAGCGGAGTTTGTTCCCCAACTTTTTGCCTTCTGAGGCACGCTTGTCATTTTATAGGCAGAATTGCAGCAGTATTCCCCATCTAGGCACTGGGCACGATGCTACAGGAAATAAAAGTGGCGTATCTGTGACGTGATCAAATAAAAATAGAACTGGAATTCAGATTGTTAACACATAATCTTCTAACTCTTAAAATTTCCTTTCAGAGAGACACATCTCAATCCAAAGGCAGCTTGCTGATCTAGAGAAGTTAGCCTTCGTAGCTGAAGATTTTGACTCTGCCAGTTCATTGAACTCAGATAATCTTGATGCAGGTATTTCCATATTTTTAAGGTTTTTTTTCCCCCTTAATTTCTATTGGCTTTTTATCTTTCAACTCATGAAAATTTGCTGAGAAACTAGAGCAATGATAAAACTTTTTCATTCAGGAAATTGGTAGCCTTCTACATTCACAGGTGCTGTGGGGACAAACTGTTTCACAGTTCCTCAAGGAAATTACAATTTCGTGGATATATAAGGACTGTGTCTTCTATAAGTTAGGAATTGCATTTAGCTATAAGTAACAGAAATCCAAAAAACAGTGCCTTTAATAACAAGAGGCTTATATTCGGTCATGTAAACGAAGTCCCCAGGTGGGCAATTTAAGTCTGGAACAAGAGTTCCTCATTGTTGTCAGGCCTCAAGCTCCTCCAGCTCCTCTCTTACTGTCTTGCCATCCTTAGTGCTTGAATTCCATCCTCAGTATCACTTCATGGTTTTTTGAAGTAAGCAGAGTATATTGAAAAATTAATTTTGACTCTACTTGCAGTGTGCTATATGTTAAAGATATTTGTTGGATTAAAAATTAAGCGAGTTGCTCATTATTTTTGTGTATTTTTATCGTTTTAAACCTGAATTTGAGATTTTAATTTTTTTGTTACTATCAAAGTTTTTATTTGAGATATATTACATTTCTGATTAAATAAGACTTCTATTTTTACAATCCATAATCTTTTCATTAATAAATAAGGAAGAACTTAGAAATTCACTAATAGGATACGGTGGCTCTAACCATGCTCCCTGGCCCAGAATAGCAGTTATCTGGGATCCCACTTACTCCTTTCACTCCTTCCATTTTTCTTACTCTGCATGTTCACTGTTTTTGTTGCTGCCAGAGCAGGTGCTTACATTGTCTGCCCTGCTCCTGCCACTCTGCGAGGGTGACAGGTACTGCCTTCTTCCCTGTCCAAAGTACATAGTGATGCTGTCTCTCGCAGGCATTTTGGCTGGAGGGATATCATGTACTTTATCACTTTCTCATTTTGCCTGTTCCCAGTGGCAACAAAGATATCAGCCCCAGAGAGGAGCGTTTAGGGTAAAAAAATCAATCACTGACCATGTGCTGATTATTAACTACTACCTGTTGAGGCAGAGGTGACTCTCCCTAATGTTAACATAGACATTATCTGAGAAGTGTGTGTGTTGGGTGGAGAGAGTCCCCTGCTACTTCTCTTGTAGCTAAATCGAGGCATTAATAGTCTATTCTGTGTTTTATTGGTTTTTTTTTTTTCCCCCCCGGTCAGGAAACAAACAGTCTTGTCCATTGTGCCCCAAGGAGAAATTCAGAGCTTGTAATAGCCATAAGCTTCGTCGTCACCTTCAAAATTTACACTGGAAAGTCTCAGTTGAATTTGAAGGTTAGTATTTTTGTGCTTGCTAAAAAGTAAATGAGTCAAGATTTGATAGAAGTTTTGGAATTTTATTGTGAACATAAATATTTTCCATTTAAAATTATGAGGGATTTGATGTCCTTTTAATGTATTTCTTAGCAAATGACCATGTAACTCTCTAGGCAGTAGATGTATGTTGCAAGTGTAGTTTACTCTAGCAAACATTTTTAATCATCTGTTCTATACTCGGTACTTTGCTTGGTCCTGGGGGTCCCCATAACTTTTTGAACTATGTTTTAGTTTTTTATTTTTTATTTTTTTATTTTTATTTTTAAAGATTTTATTTATTAATTTGACAGAGAGAGCGAGAGCAGGAACACAAGCAGGGGGAGTGGGTGAGGGAGAAGGAGGCTTCCCGCTGAGCAGGGAGCCTGATGCGGGGCTCGATCCCAGGACCCTGGGATCATGACCTGAGCCGAAGGCAGACGCTTAACAACTGAGCCACCCAGGCACCCCTATTTTTTTATTTTTTTAAGATTTTTATTTCTTTATTAGAGAGAGCAAGCACAAGCAGAGGGAGAAGCAGGTTCCCCGTGGAGCAAGGATCCCAGGATCCCAGGACCCTGGGATCATAACCTGAGCCAAAAGCCAAAGCCAAATATGAATAATTCACATAATTCACTCTCAGAATCTAATAATTGATTTTATCTAGGAAGTCTTCTTACTTGGTAAGATCTCATCTTTTGTTCTTTAATTTTATTCTTTATGAGACCTCTTATTAAATTTAGTCCCCCAAATTGTGTCATTTTTGTCACTACTGTAATTGGTGCCTTTTTTCTAATTTCCATGTATATAGAGTAGAGAAAGGTTATGATTTCAAATATTTATCTTATATCCCACTACTCTTACTAAGTCTAATGTTTTTAAGCCATCAGCAGAAAAAAAGACATTGTCTTCTTTTTTTCTAATATTCATACCATATATTTTATTTTGTTTTGCATTTATTACGCTTTCAAAATTATGTGTCAGATGGTAGTTGTTCTAACATAAAAGAAAAAGTATAGCTTTTTAAAACATAGTTCAGGGATGCCTGGATGGCTCAGTCGGTTATGGCGCCCCAGAGATCTCGCAACATTTTTAAAATTTAAAATACACTTATTTCTCCACCAGGTACTCCCTCTTTTGGGAGTAAAAGAATCAGTTGATAAGGATAGATGCACAAGAATATTCACTGCAGCGGGCGCTTGGGTGGCTCAGTTGGTTAAGCGACTGCCTTCGGCTCAGGTCATGATCCTGGAGTCCCGGGATCGAGTCCCGCATCGGGCTCCCTGCTCGGCAGGGAGCCTGCTTCTCCCTCCGACCCTCCCCCCTCTCATGTGCTCTCTCTCTCTCATTCTCTCTGTCTCAAATAAATAAATAAAATCTTTAAAAAAAAAAAAAAAGAAAAGAATATTCACTGCAGCATTTACTTAGTGACAAAAACTTGAAACTAAAATAAAAGAGGGTTGGTTGACTGTATTATGGTGTATACATACCATGAAATATTATGCTGCCATTGTAAAGAGTATATATTAGATCCATACTAGCTTACTTGGAAGGATTTCCACTATAAACTGCTATTGAAAACAGCGTGTGTGTGTGTAAGATTTTATGATATTACATTTAGATAAAAAAAAAATCTCCCAAAAAAAGCCCTAAATATCCATGTTAAGCATATGCATACTTATATTTGCATGATTTTGTGAGCATAGGTGTTGCTAAGTGTGGTTATCTGGAGTTTTAACCAAACTGGATGAAATAGCCAGTATGAGACACCCAGAAAAGAAGTCAGAACTATTTTCTTAGTAGTACTGGTAAAAGGTTATCACTAGTTACTTAGGGAAAAGGGAATTAGAGACTAAATCAGAGGCCATCATGTCTTTTATGTTTAATTATTTATAAGAAAGTATAGTAGGGGCGCCTGGGTGGCTCAGTCGTTAAGCGTCTGCCTTCGGCTCAGGTCATGATCCCAGGGTCCTGGGATTGAGCCCCGCATCGGGCTCCCTGCTCCGTGGGAAGCCTGTTTCTCCCTCTCCCTCTCCCCCTGCTTGTGATCCTGCTCTCACTGTGTCTCTCTCTGTCAAATAAATAAATAAAATCTTTAAAAAAAAAAAAAAAAAGAAAGTATAGTAAATCGTGTCTTTTTATCAAAAAGTTCTTTTTGTATTCTTTATTTAAGCCATTTTGTAACCTTTAGGTTAGTCTTTGTCTTCCAAGTTATTCTCATCTCTTAAATGGCTCATGGCATTTCTTTACTTTCTTAAGTACATTAAGTTGTTGGGTTTTTTCACATGGTGGTGATCTGGTAGATGGCAAGTATCACAGTTTTTGTTTTAGCAATCAAGTCTCAAAGTAGTTGGCAAATATGTTTAAGGTAGAAGCAATAAGACCTGCTAAAGGAATAGAAAAAGTGAGATGTGAGGGGAAATAAGCTAAGAATGCTTGAGCTTGAGACTTGAGCAGCTATAAAAATGGTGGTATCCTTTGCTGAGCAGAGAAGTGCATCTCCTGGAGATGTCAAGTAGCCTGTAGAATTTTGAGTTTGGGGGAAAGGTTGGGACTAGAGATACACGTTTGGGAATTGTCAGAATATAGATGGTATTTAAAGCCATAAGACTGGATGGGATAGGGCGCCTGGGTGGCTCAGTTGGTTAAGCGACTGCCTTCGGCTCAGGTCATGATCCCGGAGTCCTGGGATCAAGTCCTACATCGGGCTCCCTGCTCGGCGGGGGGCCTGCTTCTCATTCTGACCCTCCCCCCTCTCATGCTTCTCTCTCTCTTTCTCACTCTCTTGCTCTCAAATAAATAAAATCTTGGGGAAAAAAAGACTGGATGGGATAACCATAGGAGTACATATCAATGGGGAAAAGAAAAGGTTGCTGCGTCCTGGGATACTTCCGTATGTACAAGTAAGAGAAACAATTAGATGCAAGGTATGAGAAGAAAGGAGTTAGAGATCACTTACAGTTAGGACAACTGGAAGGCATTATCATTTATTTAAAAAATGAAAAAGAGACCTGGTTCAAGACGAAATGATATATTTAGTCCTTGACAGATTTTTGAAATACTGACCTGATAACCCAGTGGTACATCCTCAACAGGCAATCAGAAATAGAGATCCAGTCCTCAGGAAGGAGTTAGTAACTAGAGCTAGAATTTGGAATTCCTTCCCCCAGGGGAGATAGTTGCAACCATAAAAGGCATTGAAGTTACCAAGGAAATGAGGAAAAGTCATGTAGCAGATCAAGCCTATAGAAAATCTACCTTTTAGAAAAGTAGAAGAGAGGGGCGCCTGGGTGGCTCAGCCGGTTAAGCATCTGCCTTCGGCTCAGGTCATGATCCCAGGGTGCTGGGATCGAGCCCCACATCGGGCTCCCTGCTCCACAGGAAGCCTGCTTCTCCCTCTCCCACTCCCCCTGCTCGTGTTCCCTCTCTCGCTGTGTCTCTCTCTGTCAAATAAATAAATAAAATCTTAAAAAAAAAAAAAAGAAAAGAAAAGTAGAAGAGAGAGAAGAGGACATATGAAGAAGATTAAGAAAGATGGGAGAGAACTAAGTGCCATATCATAAAGAGGCTGTGTAATGGCAAATGTAGTATGAGGCAAAGAAGGTGAAGCCTAAGAAAAGGTCACAGTGTCAGAGAATAGATGATAAAATTGAGTCCCAGAGAAGCTAAATGACAAATCCAAGATAACACATAGTCTTGGCAGAACCAGAATTCAAACCTGGATCTCATGTATTTGTTTTTGTACTATATCTTATATAACAAATATATAAAACTAAGTCTCATTCAAATAAATTATGACCTTATAAATAAAAGAAGAATCCAGTTATTACAAAATAAAATTTGCTAATAATTTTTAACGATAATTGAATATTTAATGAACACTGATATGACAACCATCAATTCTTCACTTTAGGTTATAGGATGTGCATCTGTCACTTACCTTGTCGACCAGTGAAACCAAACATTATTGGAGAACAGGTAATCAGATGTTAGATTTCTTTTTAAATTTAGCCCTCTTTAAAGAAAGCATAATTTTTACTTGGCTTTAAGGCTGTGGGCATATTTGGCAATGAGGTTTACTTTAAGATTTTGTATCTGAGTGCTTTCAGATTATCATAGCATGAAAAATATGAGATATATGAAAAAAAGAGTTGCTGTATTGAACTTTTCATTTTATAGTTTTTAATTTTCAGATAAATTTTTCCCTTGTGTTCAAAAGGAAAGTTACCCTATTTACTAATTTTGGAATGAAGAATTTAAATAAAAAGTAATTATTTTTCTTTTAAAATAAATTTTGATTATGGAATAAGAGCCTTCAATTTCTATGTTTAGTAAATATCTTAGTATGTCAATTCGTATTTACCTTCTCTATGCTCTTTCTTTTAATTTGTCAATGGACAGAATCAAGAAACTTTCTGAAATCTTAATAATATCTTTAAAAGTACTTATGTTCATTTTTAGGATACATTTAAGTTTGGGGGGATACAAATTACAAAATATTTTTTAGTAATACTATCCTGAATGCATATTAGCTTAAGAAGTCCTCATTATTAATTTTTTTTCAGGTCACTAAAAAGAGTAAAGTGCTGGGGAGAAAAAAACCCAAGCATTTCTTAAGCAGTAGTCAGGACAGTGGTTGGTCCATCAGCCCTATCCAGGACATTTTGAATATGATAACGACAGTACTATAAGGAACCCTATGCAATGTTCTCGACTATTCTCTATTTGCTATTTGAGCCCAAGTAAATAGGAGGTAGAAGCTCTAAGGGTAAAAGGCATCAAAAGTAGGAAAAAGCCATTGGAGTAGTCTTTTTATTCTCAGCTAAATGAGAAATTATAAAGTGAAAATTTTTTACTTGGACTATTAGACTTTTTATTACGTTTCTAACATTCAGTGGTATGGTGAAACTAGCTCATATTTCTAGAAACCTTGAAAGCTGGTTGTTAAAAATGGCCATCATTAAAAATTAAATTGTATAAATTTTAAAGTGCATAAATTATATTACAAACAAAGGTAGTGAGTACTCAAATCTCATTACTTCCTGATATCTATTTTACTATTGTCCGTGTTCTTTATAAATATATTATATCTGCATGGTAACCATGCTCTCTAGTAGGATATTACACGTCTCTTCTCAGACTCACATTTAGTGATGTCACATCAGTAGCTTGAAATCTGACACGATTGTAGCTTGAAGTTGAACATGGTAGAGTACACATACCACAAAAGCTGCAAACATTATAAATCAGGACTTTATTTTCCTGGAGAAAATTGTTACACAGTGCTGCTAATTTTATGCCATTTTTATAGGTGCTACTTATAGAGAATAGGGTACAGTTATATGCTGACTAGAATGAATGGGAAAAACAAATTAAAGTTGGAGTCTATTATAAAGTAAGTAAAAAGCATGTGTAAATATAGATAAGGAAGTGAAGATCCCTTCAAAGTTGGATGGCAATATTAATACTATCTTCTACACCATTAAGCCCAAGATAGACTAAAATACTTAAATTTGCAATCTTAAATTTCTGTTTCATTGTCTTAGTAACTTATCTGTACATTTAAATTAAATACTCTGTTTGATAGATATCCAGTAAAATGGGCGCCCATTATCATTGTATCATTTGTTCAGCAACAATCACCAGAAGGACCGATATGCTGGGACATGTTAGGCGACATGTGAATAAAGGAGAGACGAAATCCAGGTATATTGCTGGTAAGTTGAGCAATCTCATTAACATATGTTGATAAGTAAATCCTTAAACAGTGGTCCAGTTATTCTTCTCAGACATCAGGTAGATAAAATATAGGGACTTAACCAAATCATTTAGTTAAGTACTAATCCATTACTTGAGGTTTCGTTTTCTTTCTGTGAGGCTCCCAACAACATTCAACTGTCCTCAGTTTAACAAATATATTTAATGTGGGTAAAAAAAGTGATTGATGCCAAAGTAAACATAGGTATCTTAATGAAAGATTATACATAGCTATGTTATACTTACTGTTGAAAAACACTGGAAAAAGGAAGTAGAGTTATATAAAGACCATTTATTATCCTGAAGTGATAATCAGGTTATCAATAGCTTGTTATTACTGAGGCAGCCCCTCTTAAGAATTAAGAGAATGCCTGGGTGACTCAGTTGGTTAAGCATCTGCCTTCGGCTCAGGTCATGATCTCAGGGTCCTGGGATCGAGTCCCGCATCGGGCTTCTTGCCCAGCAGGGAGTCTACTTCTCGTTCTGCCTGCCGCTCTCCCTGCTTGTGCGTGCTCTCTCTCTCTGACAAATAAAATCTTTAAAAAAAAGAATTAAGACCTCATGCCCTAAGGTATCCGTTGTATGTAATGAATTAATTTCTCTCATATACATCTAGAATGGTATTATGTACCTTTCTTTCAAGAATTGAAAAAAATACTGAAATAATTTTCTATAGAGCTTAATTTTCTCATAGAATCTGGTTTGAGAAAGGCTGATCTTTTGAGATATGTCACATGCCACTTTGGTAGGTGTAGAAGAATATAAAATACAATGCTAGGGTATGTTAACTGTGATTTGGCACTGTAAAAAGGGAAATATGGTTGCCATGTAGTTAACATTCTGATTACAATATTATCAAGAAATCCATACGTAAAGAATCTGTATTTTTCCCCACAGAGATATATATGTCTCATTTCTTAAATATTTAAAATATACACACACAAACACATCAGTATTTCATTTGGATTTATAGCTAAATGATTCTAATGTATACTAAATGTAGACTCTTTTTTCCCCCCATTACTTCATACCCATTTGAATATAATTTATGTTTTATAATTGTAGTTATAAGAAAGTGTTCTGAAATCAAGCATGTTCAGGAAGTATAGTGATTCTTAGTCATCCGTGATGCTTATGGAATGAAACAGAGATACTAACTTTATAACCATTATATCACGGTAAGATATATTTAGCAGCCAACCTATGTAAACACAGTATAGTGGTTGATGAACAATAAAGGTATTTTAGGATTTTGTTTTATTTTATTTTTTTAAGATTTTATTTATTTATTTGTCAGAGAGAGCGCACGCACAAGCAGGGCAGAGTGGCAGGCAGAGGGAGAAGCCGGCTCCATGATGAGCAAGGAGCCCAATGTGGGACTCAGTCCCAGGACCCTAGGATCATGACCTAAGCCAAAGGCAAAGGCTTAAAACCAACTGACCCACCCAGGAGTAGGAGTCCCAGATTTTGTTTTATTTTAGGCTTATTGTTCTTAACTAGGTTTCGTAATACAGATATATTGATGTTCTTGGCAGGTAAGATTTTAACTTAATAAACTTTAATTCACCAAATACTTAATTGAGTGCGACTCTTTCCTAGAGACAGTACTGAATAAATCAGTTTTGGGTTGTTTTTCTTTTTTCGTTATTTACCTAATTGATTACATTAACAAAGTATTATAAAGGAAAGTTATTTCTTTTAATGTGTATTGTTTTAGAGATTAAGAATTACTGTATTTCACTGGAAATCTTTTTTTTTTTTTCATTTTAGCTTCTGCTGCAAAACCACCTAATGAAATTTTGAAAGAGGCAGACACAGATGTACAAGTTTGTCCTAACTATTCTATACCTCAAAAAACAGATTCCTATTTTAATCCCAAAATGAAACTAAATCGGTAAGATAAATTGGAAAAAGGGTTATGGGATGTTTCAAATTATTACAGATTACCTTCCTTAATCTTTATATTCTAATATAGTGAAATTTAAAACTAGGTACAGAATGACAATCATCTGTTTTAGTATTTTCTCAGAATGATTGTTTTCTTTTTTCCTACCAAACTAATTTCTTTCTCAGAGAGTAAAATAGGCCTAACTTTATATATAAGCAGGCTTCACATCCTCCTCTGAGCCCAATGTGGGGCTTGATCTCACAACCCTGAGATCATGACCTGAGCCAAAATCAAGAGTCGGGATGCTTAACCGACTGAGCCATCCAGGCGCCCCATCTCACTGTTCTTAAATAAAATAAAATCTACAGTGATGGAGCCATATACAGTAAAATTATTTCAAATTGTTATACTTTCTTCTAGGCAGCTAATATTCTGTACCTTGGCTGCTTTGGCTGAGGAACGAAAACCTTTGGAATGTCTAGATGCCTTCGGAGCCACTGGTAAGTAATGCTTTTTTTGGAACCCCACTTTAATTATCAGATTTATGCAGTATTTTTTCTTAGAAAATTTATATGGGTATTCTATCTGGCAGAATATTTTGATTAAGAACTGAAACTTAAAGACCCATATATTTGAAATTTTGTGGAAAATTTTCAAATATATACAAAAGTAGACTATAAGAAATGAATCCTTTGCTATCTATCACTCCAAAAATTATCAACTTACGCTTGTTCTTGTAGCTGTATCCCATGCACTTTCCCTCATAACTCCTTCCACCATCCTTCATCCCCATTATTTTGATACGAATCACTGATATGTCGTTTGATCTGTAAATATTTCAGTTGGATCTCTAAAAGATAAGGATTTTTATTTATCTTTTTTAGGATTTTAAAAAGATAAAACCATGATACCATTATCACATCTAAAAATATTAAGAATAATTCTTTTAATATCATCAAATGTTAAATATGCCCAATTATCTCACAATTTTTTTAAAAAATCAAGTAGGAATTCAAATAAAGACTATGTATTTCATTGTTTGATATGTCTAAATCTCTTCTTAATCTATATTCACTTCCATCATTTTGTTTGTATGTGTGATAATTATTTGTTGACATACAGCTTGTTTGCCTTATAGACTTTTCCAGAGTCTAGATTTTTGCTGATGGTATCTCCGTGATTCTTATAACATGTTCCTCTGTCTCCTGTATTTCTGTAAATTGATAATTGGATTTTCAGATTTGATCAGTTTCAGATACGATTTTCTTTTATTCAAGAATACTTGTTCACTACAATCAGGAAGTACTTGATGTTTGGTTGTCTCTCTTTTTTTGTGGTGCAATAAACTGCTTAGTCATTCGGCTGTGGGGTGAGAGGGAATTTTAAAGACTGAGAACATTTTTCCCAAAAGAACGTAACAGTAAAGAAAAGGTAATAGAAAGGGTAGAACATTTCTAAGAAGCCACCTGTATGTAATCCAAGTTGTTTTTACCGGTTATAGGAGTATATTTTGGGGAATTTTGTAACAAAAGGATGAAAGCAGGAGTTAGCTGTCCTTTTTAAGTTCCTCTTTGCAGGGGAAAGTAGTGGTTAAAAGCAGTTTAATATCTTGCATAATTTGATCCCAACCTACTTTTCCAAATTTAATTGCCAGCATTTTCTCTTACAACCCTTTTTCTTTATTCTTTTTTTTTTTTTTTTTTACATTTAATCTATTTCACCCATCCTGTGACCCACCTCCCTTCTGGCAATCACCAATTTGTTCTCTTTATTTAAGAGTCTGCTTTTTTCTGTGTATTTTGTTTCTTAAATTCCACATATGAGTGAAATCATGGTATTTGCCTTTCCCTGTCTATTTCACTTAGCATTATACTCTCCAGGTCTGTCCATGTTGTTGCAACTGACAAGATCTCATTCTTTTTCATGGCTGAATAATGTTCCATTGTGTATGTATACTATCTTCTTTATTCATCTATCAATGGATACTTGGGTTGCTTCTATATCTTAGCCATTGTAAATAATGCTGCAGTAAACATAAGGATGCATATGTCTTTTTGAATTAGTGTTTTCATTTTCTTTGGGTAAATTCCCAGTAGTGGAATTACTGGATCATACTCAATTTCTTTTCTTCTTTGAGGAAACTCCGTACTGGTTCCCACAGTGGCCGCAGCAATTTACATTCTCACAAACAGTGAATGAGGGTTCGTTTTTCTTTGCATCCTCACCAGCTGTTTTCTTTTTTCTTTTTAAATTATTTTTATTAACATATAATGTATTATTTGTTTCAGGGGTACAAGTCTGTGATTCATCAGTCTTAACACAATTCACAGCGCTCACCATAGTACATACCGTCCCCATTGTCCATCACCCAGCCCCCCCATCCCTCCCACCCCCACCACTCCAGCAACCCTCAGTTTGTTTCCTCAGATTGTCTCTTACGGTTTGTCTTCCTCTCTGGTTTCATCTTGTTTCATTTTTCCCTTCTTTTCCCTATGATCCTCTGTCTTGTTTCTCAGTTCTTCATATCAGTGAGATCATATGATAATTGTCTTTCTCTAATTGACTTATTTCGCTTAGCATAATACCCTCTAGTTCCATCCACATCGTTGCAAATGGCCAAGATTTCAGATTTTTGATGGCTGCATAATATTCCATTATATATATATACCACATCTTCTTTATCCATTCATCTGTTGATGGACATCTAGGCTCTTTCCATAGTTTGGCTATTGTGGACATTGCTGCTATAAACATTGGGGTGCACAGGCCCCTTCGGATCACTACATTTGTATCTTTGGGGTAAATACCCAATAGTGCAATTGCTGGGTCATATGGTAGCTCTATTTTCAACTTTTTGAAGAACCTCCATACTGTTTTCCAGAGTGGCTGCACCAGCTTGCATTCCCACCAACAGTGTAGGAGGGTTCCCTTTTCTCCACATCCTCACCAACATCTGTTATTCCCTGACTTGTTAATTTTAGCCATTCTGACTGGTGTGAGGTGGTTTTGATTTGTATTTCCTTGATGCCAAGTGATGTTGAGCACTTTTTCATGTGTCTGTTGGCCATTTGGATTTCTTTGCAGAAATGTCTGTTCATGTCTTCCGCCCATTTCTTGATTGGATTATTCTTTGAGTGTTGAGTTTGAGAAGTTGTTTATAGATTTTGGATACTAGCCCTTTAACTGATATGTTATTTGCAATTATCTTCTCCCATTCTGTCGGTTGTCTTTTCGTTTTGTTGACCGTTTCCTTTGCTGTGCAAAAGCTTTTTATCTTGAAGTCCCAATAGTTCATTTTTGCCCTTGCTACCCTTGCCTTTGGTGATGTTTCTAGGAAGAAGTTGCTGCGGCTGAGGTCGAAGAGCTTGCTGCCTGTGTTCTTTTCAAGGATTTTGATGGATTCCTATCTCACATTTAGGTCTTTCATCCATTTTGAGTCTATTTTTGTGTGTGGTGTAAAGAAATGGTCCAGTTTCATTCTTCTGCATGTGGCTGTCCAATTCTCCCAACACCATTTGTTGAAGAGACTGGTTTTTTTCCACTGTACATTCTTTCCTGCTTTGTCGAAGATTAGTTGACCATAGAGTTGAGGGTCCATTTCTGGGCTCTCTATTCTGTTCCATTGATCTGTGTGTCTGTTTTTGTGCCAGTACCATACTGTCTTAATGGTTACAGTTTGTTATAGAGCTTGAAGTCCGGAATTGTGATGCCACCAGCTTTGCTTTTCTTTTTCAACATTCCTCTGTCTATTTGGGGTCTTTTCTGGTTCTGTACAAATTTTAGGATTATTACTCTCACTCTTTGGAGATGATACCATATCATCTGCAAAGAGTGAGAGTTTGACTACTTCTTTGCCGATTCAGATCCCTTTTATTTCTTTTTGTTGTCTGATTGCTGAGGCTAGGACTTCTAGTACTATGTTGAATAGCAGTGGTGATAATGGACATCCCTGCCATGTTCCTGACCTTAGGGGAATAGCTCTCAGTTTTTCCCCATTGAGTATGATATTCGCTGTGGGTTTTTCATAGATGGCTTTTATGATATTGAGGTATGTACCCTCTATCCCTACACTGTGAAGAGTTTTAATCAAGAATGGATGCTGTACTTTGTCAGATGCTTTTTCTGCATCTATTGAGAGGACCATATGGTTCTTGTTCTTTCTTTTATTAATGTATCACGTTGATTGATTTGCAGATGTTGAACCAACCTTGCAGCCCAGGAATAAATCCCACTTGGTCGTGGTGAATAATCCTTTTAATGTACTGTTGGATTCTGTTGGCTAGTATCTTGATGAGAATTTTTGCATCCATGTTCATCAGGGATATTGGTCTGTAGTTCTCCTTTTTGATGGAGTCTTTGGTTTTGGGATCAAGGTAATGCTGGCCTCATAAAATGAGTTTGGAAGTTTTCCTTCCATTTCTATTTTTTGGAACAGTTTCAGATGAATATGTATTTAATTTTTCTTTAAATGTAGAATTCCCCTGGGAAGCCATCTGGCCCTGGGCTCTTGTTTGTTGGGAGATTTTTGATTACTGCTTCAATTTCCTTAGTGGTTATAGGTGTGTTTGGGTTTTCTGTCTCTTCCTGCTTCAGTTTTAGTAGTTGATACATCTCTAGGAATGCATCCATTTCTTTCAGATTGTCTAATTTGCTGGCATATTGTTGCTCATAATATGTTCCTATAATTGTTTGTATTTCTTTGGTGTTGGTTGTGATCTCTCCTCTTTCATTCATGATTTTATTGATTTGGGTCCTTTCTCTTTTCTTTTTGATAAGTCTGGCCAGGGGTTTATCAATCTTGTTAATTCTTTCAAAGAACCAGTTCCCAGTTTCGTTGATCTGTTCTACTGTTCTTTTGGTTTCTATTTCATTGATTTCTGCTCTGATCTTTATTATTTCTCTTCTCCTGCTGGGTTCAGGCTTTATTTGCTGTTCTTTCTCCAGCTCCTTTAGGTGTAGGGTTAGGTTGTGTATTTGGGGCCTTTCTTATTTCTTGAGAAAGGCTTGTATTGCTATATATGTTCCTCTTAGGACTGCCTTTGCTGCATCCCAAAGATTTTGAATGGTTGTGTTTTCATTTTCATTTGTTTCCATGAATTTTTTTTAATTATTTTTTAATTTCCTGGTTGACCCATTCATTCTTTAGTAGGATGCTCTTTAGCCTCCATGTATTTGAGTTTTCTCCAACTTTTCTGTCATGATTTGAGTTCTAGTTTCAAAGCATTGTGGTCTGAAAATAGGCAGGGAATGATCCCAGTCTTTTGGTACTGGTTGAGACCTGATTTGTCACCTAGGATGTGATCTATTCTGGAGAATGTTCCATGGGCACTAGAGAAGAATGTGTATTCTGTTGCTTTGGGATGGAATGTTCTGAATATATCTGTGAAGTCCATTTGGTCCAGTGTGTCATTTAAAGTCTTTTTTTTTTTTTTTTTAAGATTTTATTTATTTTTTTGACAGAGAGAGAGACAGCGAGAGGGAACACAAGCAGGGGGAGTGGGAGAGGGAGAAGCAGGCCTCCCGCCGAGCGGGAAGCCCGATGCGGGGCTCGATCCCAGGACCCTGGGATCATGACCTGAGCCGAAGGCAGACGCTTAACGACTGAGCCACCCAGGCGCCCCTCATTTAAAGTCTTTATTTCCTTGTTGATCTTTTGCTTAGATGATCTGTCCATTTCAGTGAGGGGGGTGTTAAAGTCCCCTACTATTATTGTATTGTTGTCAATGTGTTTCTTTGATTTTGTTATTAATTGGCTTATATAATTGGCTGCTCCCATGTTAGGTGCATAAATAATTACAATTGTTAGATCTTGTTGGATAGACCATCTAAGTATGATACAGTGTCCTTCCTCATCTCTTATTATAGTCTTGGGTTTAAAATCTAATTTGTCTGATATAAGGATTGCCACCTCAGCTTTCTTTTGGTGTCCATTAGCATGGTAAATGGTTTTCCACCCCCTCACTTTCAATCTGGGGGTGTCTTTGGGTCTAAAATGAGTCTCTTGCAGACAGCATATTAATGGGTCTTGTTTTTTAATCCAATCTGTTATCCTGTGTCTTTTGATTGGGGCATTTAGCCCACTTACATTCAGGGTAACTATGGAAAGATAGGAATTTAGTGCCATTTTATTGCTGTAAGATGACTGTTACTGTATATTGTGTCTGTTCCTTTCTGGTCTGTGTTACTTTTAGGCTCCCTCTTTGCTTATAGGACCCCTTTCAATACTTCTTGTAGGGCTGGCTTCATGTCTGTGAGTTCTTTTAGTTTTTGTTTGTCCTGGAAGCTTTTTACCTCTCCTATTTTCAGTGACAGCCTAGCTGGATATAGTATACTTGGCTGCATATTTTTCTCATTTAGTACTCTATCATGCCAGTCCTTTGTGGCCTGCCAGGTTTTGTGGATAGGTCTGTTGCCCTTCTAATGTTTCTACCATTGTAGTTGCAGACCTCTTGTCCCGAGCTGCTTTCAGGATTTTCTCTTCCTCTCTGAGACTTGTAAGTTTTACTATTAGATGTCAGGGTGTTGACCTATTTTTATTGATTTTGAGAGGGGTTCTTTTTGCCTCCTGGATTTTGATGCCTGTTTCCTTCCCCAAATTAGGGAAGTTCTCTGCTGTAATTTGCTCCAGTATGCCTTCTGCCCCTCTCTCTCTTTCTTCTTCTTCTGGGATCCCAATTATTCTAATATTGTTTCGTCTTATGGATCACTTATCTCTCGAATTCTGCCCTCGTGATCCAGTAATTGTTTATCTCTCTTTTTCTCAGCTTCTTTATTCTCCATCATTTGGTCTTCTGTATCACTAATTCTCTCTTCTGCCTCATTTATCCTAGCAGTTAGAGCCTCCATTTTTGATTACACCTCATTAATAGCCTTTTTGATTTCGACTTGGTTAGATTTTAGTTCTTTTATTTCTCCAGAAAGGGATTCTCTAATATCTTCTATGCTTTTTTCTTTTTCTTTTTTTTTTTCCGTAAAGATTTAATTTATTTATTTGACATAGAAAGAGACAAGCAGGGGAGGGGCAAAGGGAGAGGGAGAAGCAGACTCCCGCTGAGCAAGGAGCCTGATGCAGGGCTTGATCCCAGGACCCCAGGATCATGACCCAAGCCAAAGGCAGACACTTAACTGACTTAGCCACCCAGGTGCCCCTCTTCTATGCTTTTTTCAAGCCCAGCTGGTGTCTTTATAATGGTCATTCTGAACTCTAGTTCAGACACCTTACTAATGTCCGTATTGATTAGGTCCCTGGCAGTCAGTACTGCCTCTTGTTCTTTTTTTAGAGGTGAGTTTTTCCGTGTTGTCATTTTGTCCAGAGGAGAATAGATGGATAAGAGAACAAAATGCTAACAGTAACAACGACCCCAGAAAAATATACGCTAAACAAATCAGAAGAGACCCGAAAGCGGGGGAAAAGAAAGGGAAAAAAAAAAGAAGGAAAATGAATATGATCAGGCTGGTTAATAGAACAGAGCCACACACTAGATTTTGGGTGTATTTTGGTCTGTTAGAAGAAATTGCTTCCCAAAATTTTAAAGAAATCTTATATATATATAAAAAAATAAGGGTATGTACGATGAAGGGATGGAATATGACTGTAAAGATGAAAATTAAAAAAGATTTTTAAAAAGAAATTGTTAAGAAGTTGGTTGAAAAAAGAGAATGTGATCAGGCAGGAGACTAGGCCAACGTCTTACACTAGATTTAGGGTATATTTTGGTCTGTTAGAGGAAACTGTATCACAAAATTTTAAAGAAAGAAAAACATATATATATACAAAAAATAAGGTTAACTACAATGAAGGGATAGAATATGACTGTAAAAATGAAAATTAAAAAAGGTTTTAAAAAAGGAATTGATAAGATGTTGGTTGAAAAAGGAAAGAAGAAAAATTCAACTAAAAAATAGAAGAAAAAATAAAGAAAATTTTAAAAATTAACTTTGAAAAACTAAAGGATCATGGGAAAAAATCCATGAGTTTTATGTGCTGTGTTCCCCTAGTGCTGGAGTTCTGCCATTCTCATTGGTCAGTAAACTTGGTCTTGGCTGGCTGTTCTTGCTGATCTTCTGGGGGAGGGGCCTTTTGCCGTGGTTCCCAAATGTCTTTGCCAGAGGTGGAATTGCCCCGCCCTTGCCGAGTCCAGGCTAAGTCATCTGCTCGGGTTTGCCCTCAGGAGTTTTTGTTCCCTGCAAGCTTTCCGTACAGCTTTGAAGGATGAGAGTGAGGAATGGCGGCCTCCCAATCTCTGGTCCAGGAGGAGCTGAGAACTCGGGGCCCCACTCCTCAGTGCACCTCCAGGGAAAAGCAGTCAGTCACTCCCATCTCCCCGGTCTCCGGCTGCACTCTGTGCTCCCCCAGCCTGTGACCGAGTGTTTCTTTCCCTGGCACTGGACCCTGTGTGGAGTCTCCAAACCCAGCAGATCCCTGCGGTGCGCTGCTGCGCCGCTCCTCCTGGGGGAGGAAGGGGAATCTCCCCAGATCTGCCACTTGTTCGGTCCCTGCTGGAAGAGCAGTGGCCCGACTGTGCCGTGGATCACGGTTTATGGCAACCCCAAGCTGAGAGCCCGCGCCTCGGCTCCATCTCTGCAGCTGGCTTCCCTGTTCCAATACCTGGGAGCTCTGCCACACTCAGGCACCCCCGGTCTTTCTGTGACCCCGAGGGTCCTGAGACCATACTGTCCCAGCTAGGGTTCCACCCCCTGCTTAGCCAGTGGAGCGACGTTCCTCAGTGGAGCGGACTTCTAAAAGTTCCGATTTTGTGTCCCGCGGCTCTATCACTTGCCAGTAGCGGCTGACAGAGGCTCCCTCCCCCGTGGTCTTATCTTCCCATATATCGCCTCAGATTCACTTCTCCACACGTCCTACCTTCCAGAAAGTGGTCGCTTTTCTGTTCATAGAATTGCTGCTATTCTTTTCTTCGGTCTGTTGAGTTTGTAGGTGTTCTGAATGGTTTGGTAAGTATCTAGGTGAATTCCTGGGACCAGTCGAAATTTAGGTCTCCTACTCCTCTGCCATCTTACTCCTCCCTCCAACAGTTGTCTTTTTGATTGTAGCCATTCTCACAGGTGTAAGGATGATATCTCATTTTTATTTACATTTTACTCATCATTAGTGATGTTGAGCATCTTTTCATGTGTCTGTTGGCCATCTGTATATCTTCTTTGGACTCTTGACCATCTTCACCCAATTCTTCCACCCTCTATCCCCCACCCCACCCCCACCTCTGGCAACCTACAAATCTGATCTCTTTCTATGAGTTTGGTTTTTTTTAGATTCCACATATAAGTGCGATCATACAGTATTTGTCTTTCTCAGACATTTTACTGAACATAGTGCCCCAGTGGTCCATCCATGATGTCATAAGTGGCAGGATTTTCTTCTTTTTTATGGCTGAATAGTAATTTTGTGTGTGTGTGCATATATCACATTTTCTTTATCCATCAGTGGACACTTAACGATTCCATGTCTTGGCTATGGTGAATACTGCTGCAATGAACTATTTTGTCACCTGAAATCATTAAAGCTAATGTCTGAGCTTTTCAGTCCTTTCTTGTAATGTTCCTTTGTAAACTTAAATCAGTTCATAGCAGTCAGTTTGCATGCTTTCCCATCTCTAAAAATGTGAATATTAGAACTAATCACAAGCTTGTTATGAGAACCTGAAAATATTTGTAAAGACCGTGGCACATAGTAGATGTTAAATGTTTACGTTTATGAGGCACGTGAGTGGAGACTTTGGCCAGGACTTGTAGCACAGAGAGGGTTCTAATCCGCAGCGGCTGGGCCTGTGCCACCATCTCCTGTATTGCAATGAATGGCCCTTACAGCGCTAATCCAGGAGGTGTAGGGAGCCTGTGAGGAGAGACTTTCTTTGTCTGAATTCCTGATCATTTGCTTACATATACAGAGTTGTTTTGTTTAACTCACAATGATGCTGTTGTACAGTGTTTGAAAAAATGGTTGAAAAAATGGTGGTCCACTAAAGTTGTTTTCGTATTTTGGGGCATTAGGTAAACTGCAGCAGGAGGAGTTTCAACTTCCCATCCCCCAAGCAGAGTAACTCCACTCTTACTCATATTGTATATTGGGTTTCTCTGTAAGATTTTGTTTGAAAAAAGCATTCCATTGTAAGAAATTTTTACAAAGAAAACCTATTCCCCAAAATAATCAGAACAAATATGGTTATTTTATTTGAATACGTGTTACAGAAAAGCTTTAGAAAAAGTATTAATGAAAATCTGTTAGGCACATTTTGTGTGTGCGTGTGTGTGTGTGTGTGGTAACTTTTCTTCAGAGGCTTTGTAGTGAGAAAGTAAAAAAAGAATTATTTATGAAAATATTAAGATTTTGAAACAGTTTGGTTTTGTTTTTATAAAATATTTATTATATACTGTTTTTATTCTTTAATTACTATAATTTAAAATTCATTTTCCTTCACATTTCTTTTAAGGGATAATGGGATTACAATGGGCAAAACATCTTGGAAGTGCAGTTAAGGTTACAATTAATGACTTGAATGAGAACTCTGTGACACTGATTCAGGAAAACTGCCATTTAAACAAATTGAAAGTGGTGGTGGACAGTAAGGAAAAGGAAGAGAGTGATGATATTCTTGAAGAAGGAGAGGAAGACCTTGGTAATATTAAGGTGACCAAAATGGACGCCAATGTACTGATGCATTTGAGATCCTTTGATTTCATGTAAGTGAAAAAAATTTGCTGTGTCACTTTTTGTGTATGTGTGCGTGTGTTTGTCACTTTCTAAACTGGCCTGGATTTTTGGTGGGGGGACTAAGCCTGTTGTTTGTTTATTTGCATTAATACAGTTTTTTCCATTGGCCTAAGGAATGCAATAAGTACATTTTCTAGCATTTGAAATAAAATTCCCAGGCATGACAATTTTCTTCTAAGCCTGATTCACTTTTATATGTCTGACGTATCATATGATCATTTTATTACTTAATTTAAAAACAGAATTATATATTTAAAATTGATTTGTAAAGTACTTTTGAATCCATGGAATTTTATCATTAGACATAATGATAGTGGTACCATTTTGATTACTAGTAAGATTTTAAATATGTATTCTTTCTGATTTTAGACACCTAGACCCTTTTGGAACATCTGTGAACTATCTAGATTCTGCATTCAGAAATATAAGAAACCTTGGCATAGTTTCAGTGACTTCTACAGATATCAGTTCTTTATATGCCAAGGCACAGCATGTTGCCCGGCGTCACTACGGCTGTAATATTGTCCGAACTGAATATTACAAGGAACTAGCGGCCAGAATTGTTGTAGCTGCAGTGGCAAGGTACCAGATTGACAACAACGTACCTAGTACGTTTTGGGTATATGATAGAGATAATATTACAAAAAGTGCCAGTTGCATTTTTCAAAATATGCACAAAGTGCAAATTCTGTATTCGTGTCCATAATCTTGATTTGTTTCATAATCTAACGTTTTTGTTATAATTTGATTTAAAAGTTTTGTGCCTAAAATAGTTTACTCTCCAATGAAAAGTTTTATTAAAATTAGTTTAAGAGAGGGAGACAAACCATAAGAGACTCTTAATCTCAGGAAACAAACTGAGGGTTGCTGGAGTGGGGGGTGGAGTGGGAGGGATGGGGTGGCTGGGTGATGGACACTGGGGAGGGTATGTGCTATGGTGAGTGCTGTAAGTTGTGTAAGACTGATGAATCACAGACCTGTACCCCTGAAACAAATAATACGTTATATGTTAATTGAAAAAAAAAGTTAATAAAAAAATTAAGAAAGAAGAGATAAAAATGAAAGTTAATGTCAAATCAGTTATTTTAACAATGTAGGGTAGATGGGGGATAGCACCATGAAAAGAAAATGCAAACGTTGTTTTAAGATTTAGAAAAATTCGGGGTTTTGTGGGTGGAGTTTATTTTATATTTATTTATTCATTTTTAAGTAGGTGCCATGCCCAGCATGGAGCACAACACAGGGCTTGAGCTCATGACCCTGAGATTAAGACCTGAGCTGAGCTCAAAAGTCGGACACCTAAGTGCCCAGAAAAATTTGTTTTTGTTTTTTTGGTGTTTTTTTAAGATTGATTGATTTGATTTTTTTTTTTAATTAATTAATTTTTTTTTTTTTTTTTTTTAGAGGGAGGGGAGGGAGAGAGCTCGAGCAGAGGGAGAGAAAAATCTCAAGCAGATTCTGCACCAAGCATGGAGCCCAGTGCGTGGCACAATCCCACAACCCTGAGATTATGACCTGAGCCGAAATCAAGAGTTGGAGCTCAACCGACTGAGCCACCCCAGCACCCAAAAAATCGTTTGTTTTATGTCTGTTTCATTTCCTTTATTTACATAGTTTGAATAAAATGATGGCTTTATAGGGGTGCCTGGCTGGCTCGATCGATGGAGCATGTAACTCTTGATCTCGGGGTCGTGAGTTCAGACCCCATATTGAGTGGAGATTACTAAAACAAAAATAAAAATAAACATAAATAAACTTTTAAAATGATGGCTTATAAACTTGATTCTGCAAAATGATCTTACCTACAAAACAAAAAGTTCTGTTTTTCATCAGGATTTCTAAACAGTTAAAGAAAGGCTTTTTCTTTTTTTGAGCACCCACTTTAATCAGAATATTCTGCTAGAAGAATAATATAATATATATTGACCCTGAGAGTATAGATAATGCATTATTAGCCAGTTCATTCACTAGCCTCAACACTGGGTTCACAGCATTTAGATTGAAATTCCTACCTCAACATATTACGGATTATAGTAGACTTCATATACCTTTGGTGTTATTCCTAACTATCTGAAAACTCTGATATCCAGTATGTATACACACCAAGGACCTATTGTATATACTTAAAAATGTTTATGATGTAATATCAACAAGTTGAAATTAATACATATGAACTAAGTACATACAACTGCAGAGGGAAAACTAAGTACATAAATGGTGTATCAATTAGAATTTAATCCAGAAGTCTATAAAATTAATAGTGGCAAAAACTTTGCCTATTCATTTTTCACTGAACATTCAGCACATACTAGCCTGCATGTAGTTAGTCCTCAATAATCATTGTTTGGAAGAAGCTTTTATAGAAAAGAGTAGATAAAAAGGAAGAAGGGTGGTGGTGATGACAAGAAACAAAGTGACACTGAAAATCAGGATGTAGTCTTACTGAGAGGATACCATAATGGAGATTGTCTAGTTACTAAAGATTCTGCCAAGCATCCTTTGTTACCCGTGTTTCAGTTTGTGTAAAAGTTACAGCAATGATTTTTTAAAAACACTGCTACTAAGAATTGAACTTTCCTTATTTTCCCATAACCCATCCATGGTTTCCTGTCCAGGTTAGTATTGTCAATATAATGCCAAACAAAGAAAAATGATAAGCCCCCAAAATAACTTGAAAAATTTCTTTCCAGAGCTGCAGCCCGATGTAACAAAGGCATTGAGGTACTGTTTGCAGTGGCTCTGGAACATTTTGTGTTGGTTGTCGTGAGAGTTTTGAGGGGGCCTACCTCTGCAGATGAGACAGCCAAGAAGATTCAGTACCTGATCCATTGTCAGTGGTGTGAAGAGAGAATTTTTCAGAAGGATGGTAATATGGTAGAAGGTAAATTCAGATTTCTCTTGACTGTATATTGTGTTTATGTATAAGCCTCCAATGAATAAGTCATTATCACATCCCTAATTACACATATTGTTGTCCTTTGATTTTAAAGATTACAGTGCTAACTTTATTTCCTATACTGGATTTCCTTTCATCAACAGACAAGACATTCGTGTGAGTTTATTAAAGTTATTTACTCATGCTCTACAATTTATGCTCTCTAGCTCTGCCCTCTTTTGAAACATATAGAAATAACTTAGTTTCCACTGCCACTAATTTTAGGAACATAAGTCAGATTACTTCTTTGTCTAGGGTGTTTCAAATCACTAATTTTATAAAAATAATTATCATGTTTCTGGCTTAGTATAAAAACCATCCGTTATAAAATTCCTTCAGTAAACATTTACTGAGCCTCTACTATATGCCAGGCATGGGGATCAAAGAAAAAGATGAAGCTTATGCCCTTACAAAGCTGTTTCTGTTTTGCTTTTCTGGGGCATAGAAACAGATGCCCATTGTTTTCTGTTAGATTCTTGGCATGTTTTAGTATGGATTTTTAAGAATTCCTTACATATTAGAGTTTAACCCTTGTGATATGAGTTGCAAATATTTTTTCTCATTTTGTGAATTCTGTTGAAATCTGTTTTTTTTCATCTTTCATATGCATAAGTTTGTTGTTGCTGTTATAAAGTTAATTGAATTTTATGTATTCTGGATTTTGTCTATATTTAGAAAGAATTTTCATGTTTCTATATTCAGGGTAGGTTATGTTCTATTGAATAATTCACCTTTCTCCACCAATGTGAGAATACCATTTTTTTCTTATACTAAAGAATATATTTGAGTTTGTTTCTGGATTTTCTATTCTGTTCCAGTGGTTGAATATCTATTCATACACCTCTATTGCACTATTTTGATTACAGAGGCTCTTTAGTGTTTAATATCTGTTACAGCAGTCCCTCTTCAAAGCTCTATTTTTGGAGTGTTCCTGGTAAAGGATCTTCCTTTTTTCTTAATAAAAGAGTAAATGAATAGACAGCTAGTATTTTATTTTGATTTTATTAAGGAGGATAGATACTGTTGTGATTTTCAGATTTCCTAATAACCTAGTATGCTTTTCATTTGTGCAAGTACTTTTGCTACAGTGTTAGTGAGAATGGGAAGGCATCCTGTCATGTTGCTTTAGTTCTCTCTGGTCCTTTCTGATACAAGCATGGATCTGAGATACCTATCGTTTTTCATGTTAAGAAAGTATCCTTCATTTCCAGTTTTATTGTATTTTAGCAAAGATGCTGAATTTTGTCATGTATTTCAGCACCTGTGGAGATGATTATGTGGTGTTTCTTCTTAGGTCTATTGATTTGATTAGTTTTAATAAAATTTCCCAGTATTGAACCATTCTGCCCTTCTAGAATAAACTACTCGGTCAGGAAGTATTTTCTTAAGATAGATTCTATTTGTTAATTTTTTAAATTTTGTTTTAATATTCATAAATGAGATGGTGTATAGTTTTCCTTTTTAGCATAATTTTGATTGGGCTTTGGAATCTGTTTAAACTTGGAAAGAATTTGGAACTTTGCCCTTTTTTTTCCTTTTCGGTTGTTGGGAACAGGATAGCTTTAGCTTTTCTGAATTATTTACATAGAGTTGAGGCAAGTGGTATCTAATGGTTCTTTTTAATTTTCTTGGTTTCTGTGGTTATATTCTCTTTTTTTAATTTTTAATACTTGTTCTTTCTGACTTCTCTCTTGACTACCTTAGATACTGGTTTATCTGTCCTATTGTTCATTTATTACCTTTCTTAATGTTTTACTTTTGTAGTAGTAAATATGTATTCCAAAATTTGAATTGTTTTGGTTTTAAGTAATATAGTTTGGCTTCTTGGCATCATAAATGAGGTAATCACCCTCCCATTTTCCATTTTCCCTTCCCAGTTTGTGCTCATTATACCATTTATATGTTATTAGAATATGTAACATTTATATTCTATTGTGCCAATAAAATCTATACATTAAACGTGTTTAATAATCATCATCACTCTTTTTGCCATAATTTCTCTAATCATCTCTTAATTTACTAAATCTAACTTTCTGAGTTTAGTCAAGAGTGGGCAGAATACTGCTTGATGTCTTGCATGTTTAAAGCTCACTACCCATAGCCTTTATACTTAAAAGAGTTTAGAGTTTCTTTGAGTGCCTTGTAAAAGTGTTTATGTTGTCATCTGTCACTGAATATTATAGTAACTTTTCCTTCTTTCATGTGACATGATTATTTTGCCTGGCTGCCCAAAGGAATATTTATTTTTGAAGTCCAGTAACTTTACTGGGGTATATCTTTTTAGGATAAGTGTTCCTAAATCACGGTGTACCCCTTCAGAGTTTCAAATCTTTCATTTTAAGAGAGTTTTCTTAAATATTTATTTAATTCTAATATTTGTCTTACCTTTGTATTATTATGTCTATGCTAGAATTCCTTAGCCTGTCTTTAACTATCATTTTATCTCTAGAAATGTTCAGACAGATTTGTAATTGTTTTATATTCTTCATGTATGGCCCTTTTACCATTATGAAATATCCATTTTTATCTCTGTGGTATTTGTCTGAAAGCTTATATTATCTGATATTAATATAAACATGACTTTGTAGTTACTATTGACATATATATTTTTCTCATCCTTTTACTTTCAATCCATAAGTGTCATCTTTTTAAAAAAATTTTTAAGATTTTATAATTTATTTGAGAGAGAGAGAGGGATAGAGCACAAGCAGGGGGAGCAGCAGAGAGAGAGGGAGAAGCAGGCTCCCCACTGAGCAGGGAGCCCGATGCGGGGCTCGATCCCAGGACCCTGGGATCATGACCTGAGCCAAAGGCAGACGCTTAACCGACTGAGCCACCCAGGCACCCCCGTAAGTGTCATCTTTGATCTTACTTTTTTATCCAGTCTCATCATTTCTGCCTTTTGATGAGAGTTTTATTTTATTTTATTTTTTTAAGATTTTATTTATTTGACAGAGACACAGCGAGAGAGGGAACACAAGCACGGGGAGTGGGAGAAGGAGAAGCAGGCTTCCCACTGAGCAGGGAGCCCCATGCGGGGCTCGATCCCAGGACCCTGATCATGACCCGAGCCAAAGGCAGACGCTTAACAATTGAGCCACCCAGGCGCCCCTTGATGAGCGTTTTAGACAGTTCCTACTAAATGTCATTATTGAAATGGTTGGCTTTATGTCTACTCTTTTGCTATTTGTTTTTATGTCTTTCACGTCTTTTTGTTGTTCTATTTCACCTTTGTTGCCTTTTTTAATGTTGGACATATTTTTAGTGTGTCCTCTTAATTCCTCTGCTGATTTTTTTGCTATATATTTTTCAGTTATTTTCTTAATGGTTTCTCCAGGGATTAACAGTATACACCTTTAACTTATCTTGAGCTACCTCAGGTTAATATTGACTGAAGACTGACAAAAGCTAGCAACTTTGCTCTAAGGTAATTTTATGTTCCTCTCCCCTTATAGGCTATTTTTGTCTTATATTAATTACATCTATGGTGATCCAATCAAACAATATAGTATTATATTTATTTTTTAAATATTATGATTTTCAAAGAAATTAAGACAGGAAAAGAGAGAATACACACACACACACGTATCTTTTATAGTTACCCACATAATTACCTTTCCAGTGCTCTTTAGTCCTATTTTATTCAAGTTACTCTATTTCATTTCCTTTCAACCTGAAGAACCTCCTTTACTATTTCTGCAACAGACTCTCCCAGTTTTTATTTATCTAGTGATGTCTTTATTTCACCTTCCTTTTTAAAGGATATTTTTTCTGAATGTAGAATTACTGGTTGACAGGAGTTTTTTTCTTTCAGCACTTTGAATATAAGCATTCAGTGCCCTTTGGCCTCCATTATTTCTGATGAGAAGTCAGTCCTTGTATTTTTGTTCCCTTGTACTTGATAAATTATTTTTCTCTTACTGCTTTCAAGATTTTCTCTTTGTGGCTTTCAGCAGTTTAGTTACAATATGTCTGAGTGGATCTCTTTATATTTATCCTAATTGGAATTCATTGAGCTTTCGGAGTCTGTAGATGAGTATTTTTCATCAGACGTAGGGCACTGTCTTGCTTCTCCAACCTAAACCCATCTTCATCACCTCAAACTGGAGGCAGATATTGTCTGTAATGTACTAATCATGAATTAGAGTAATATAATCAGCTGTTTCAAGTACAGTTTTCTAAACGACCCCTGCAGCTGTTGCTCTAGAGCCACTCTGGTTGCACTCATCTTTTCATTGTAAGTTCGAATATCCTCCTAAGGCTCTTTCTGCCTCTAATAGCTATTCTCTCCAGTGTGGTTTTCTTTCCAGTAGTATGATGTCTCAGCTTTTAGGCTTTCAGAAAGTACGGAACAATTTGGGATGTGTGCTGGCACTATCTAGGAATTATTCATAAAAGTATCTTTTCTGGGTCACCTGGGTGGCTCAGTCGGTTAAGATGCCTTCAGCTCAGGTCATGATCCTAGTGTCCTGGGATTGAGCCTCATGTCGTCAGGCTCTGTGCTCCAGCTGGGGGGGAGGGGGGCGTCTGCTTCTCCCTCTGACTGCGACTCCCCCTGCTTGTGCTCGCACTCCCTCTCTCTCTGTCAAATAAATAAAATCTTAAAAAAAAAAATCTTTTCTGTCATATCTAGAGATTTAGAATAAGAAGAGAAGTTGGGAAAAAAAAAAGAAGTTGGGTTTCAATGCTCAGCCCACCATCCTAATCTTGTTTTTAATATAACAGAATCAGAAGAGTTAAAGAATCCACTCTGGCTTTTTAAAATACAGGTTTTTGGGGCACTTGGCTGACTCAGTCAGTGGAGCTTGCAACTCTTGATCTCAGGGTTGTAAGTTCGAGCCCCACGTTGGGTGTAGAGATTACTTAAAAATAAAAGGGGCGTCTGGGTGGCTCAGTCAGTTGACCATCCAACTCTTGGTTTCAGCTCAGGTCATGATCTCAGGGTT